GTTCCCACGTCATCCAAAACAAAAAAAACGACTAGATGCTACGAGTCTAAGTTTACCAACTATTGCTTTGAACACCAGAGTCTTAATGCTAAATCAGCTCCCTAATCACAAAATCTTTTGTTGATTGGCACCATAACCAGACCCACGTTCATATCCATCCTCGGTGATCCTCCTTGCAACTAGCAAAAGATGTTGGTTTAATTATGGGTATTTTTTTGTTTTTAAAATATTTATTTTCCTTTTTTTTTTAAATTCAATTTCATTATTATGGATATTTATGTAATTTTATTTCATTCCTTAACGGCAGGCAGTTAAGGCTCCGTTAGCCAAGTAGGGTAGGTTGCAACAGTTACTAAACAAAAAGGTTGTTTGTTGCCACTGAAAAAAAAAGGAGACCGGTATTATGCAACCCTTTAAAACTAGAGGGGGGGTTTAGTGCACAAGGCCTGCGATAAAATATAGTTTTCAACACAATTAAATTAAGTCAGAAGTAATGTGTTTCGAAAGTAATGGTATGTTGAAACACGTTTAAATTTTGTTTAGTCATGTTTTAACACCATTACTTTTAGGTTGAACTAAATGCTAATGTTTTAACACCATTACTTTTAGCTTAAACTAAATGCTAAAATATGATTTAATTAGGTTGAAAGCGTACGACGGGTTATGACAGAGAACTCGCTTAGAGAGGATCCAAATCTGTAATTGTAATATCAAACTAATGTGTAATTGTAATATCAAACTATTTCTTAAGTGATATATAATAGGGTGAATTGCATTAAAAAAAAAAAAAAATGCGACTTATAACATTTGGCAATAAACTCCTATTTTAATTTTTTTTGGGTCACAAAACACCCTTCAATTAACCAAACTTTGCTCCGTTATATTTTTTTTGAGATGAAAATGCCCCCTTGCACATTGTGGAAGAGAATATCAACACAATCCAAAGACTTTTCCTACAATACAATAAGATGTCATTTTAAATGACACCCATGTAATGCCCATCGAGAATGCTTTTACAATCAAGATAACAATCTTACCGAGTTGTAGAATATTGCATTAATGACAACTAAAATTTTTGCCTGCCTCATATATTGACTAAGTCCTCGTATTTATTGCAATTTTCAATTGGTTGCAAAGATAAAACTTATCTCCTTTAACTACTCTTTGAATGTCGTGCTTATCTTGAATTATAGATTTCCCTAACCAACAATGTGCTGTAATTCTCATCTCTTATAAACTTAGGACTAATTTGGTATGGTGGAATGAATTGGAATGGAATAAGAATAGATGTAATAATAGATTATAAACTTAGGACTAATTTGGTATGGTGAAATGAATTGGAATGGAATAAGAATGGATGTAATAATAGAATGCGAATCGAATTGAATGGTCATTCATTTTGTTTGAAGGTAGAATGATTCTGATGGAATGATCATTGTCCAAGAATAGTAGAGAATAATAATTCTAATTTTAAAATTGGCACCAAACATGAGAATGGAAAAAAAATCATTCCATTCTACTTTCTTTTATTCCATTCTACTGCAACAAACTAGTCCTTAAATTCATTTACTAACCACATCTTTATCCAGATTAGTCAACACACTTGGTTTAGGCAAAATAATTTTCCTTATCACACATTAAATAAGCCATGTTACTATCTGATGTTACTATTATAATATTATAATGGATTCTAGCATCATTATATATACTACCTCCGTCTCTCTTTAAGTATTCTGTTTTGGCCGTCCCACTTTAATTATTCTGTTTTGTCAAAATAGAAATGGGGCGGAGGGGTATTTTTTTTTTTTTTTTTACAATTGTGGGTGTCCGGGCCAGTTTGCGCACACCTCGACTAATCTCACGAGATCCTAAAACAGAACAATTAAAGTGGGGCGGAGGGATTTTTTTTTTACAATTGTGAGTGTCCGGATCAGCTTGCGCGCACCTCGACTAATCTCACGATATCCTAAAATTAACTACCAAATAAGCCTCCAATAGCCCTGAGGAATTGTTGTAAAACCAATATGACTCACATCATTGATAATATTATCATGGTATATCTCTCTAATGTTTATTTAGTTGTATCACAATTATATTGTATTACTTTCTCATCATTTGACTTTTTAACAAATTAAAATATAAACTTACTCTACTTCAATGTGGTATTGATTTTCACAAATTAGATTACGTATTTTTGTTAAACTCTATTTGCGCATTAGTTCATGGAATGTCGTTTGTAAAAGAAACATGTGATAACCCTAACATGGACTAATCACACTCAAACAAGCGAATGAATGTTTTTTTAAAACTCTGCTTACGTATGGGCTCTTGTGAACCAAACGAGTCTTAAAACGTACCAAATGGAAAGGTTTGAGGGATAAGGTTCCTCCAGGAACATGAATATGCCAAGTGTGTCCGTTCGCTTTAAAAATAATAAATAAATATTTTTTATTATATTAGTAGTAGGTGAATTACCAATTTAATTTAAAATTATTTACAAATATTGATCTAACTCTTTATATTTTTAATAACATAATATACTAAAATTAATATGCAATAAATAAATTAATTAAATAATTATTTACATTTAACTTAATGATAGAGTGGGGATTTGAACCTGACCACAAGGAACACATGCCCTACCACTGATATCACACCACATCCAACTCTTTATACTTTTAATAAAGTAACATAGTATTAAAAATAATATTCAATAAATAAATTAATTAATTATTTACATTTAACTTAATGATGGAGTGGGGATTTGAACTGGGCCTTTGGCCACAAGCAACACATGCTCAATCATGACTATCACACCACATCCAACCCTTTATACTTTTAATAAAGTAATATAGTATTAAAAATAATATTCAATAAATAAATAAATTATTTACATTTAACTTAATAATTGAGTGGGGATTTGAACCTAGGCTTTTGGCCACAAACAACACATGCCCTACCATTGGGCTATCACACCACATCCAACTCTTTATATTTTTAATAAATTAATATAGTATTAAAATTAATATTCAATAAATAAATTATTTACATTTAACTTAATGATGGAGTGGGGATTTGAACGGGGCGTTTGGCCACAAGGAACACATGCCCTACTACTAGATTATCACACCACATCCAACTCTTTATACTTTTAATAACATAATATAGTATCAAAATTAATATTCAATAAATAAATAAATAAAATATTTACATTTAACTTAATGATGGAGTGAGGATTTGAACCTAGGCCTTTGGTCACAAGCAACACATGCCCTAGCACTGAACTATCACACCACATCCAACTCTTTATACTTTTAATAAAGTAATATAGTATTAAATTTTATATTCAATAAATTAATTAAATAATTATTTACATTTAACTTAATGATGAAATGGGGATTTGAACTAGGACCTCTTTGGCCACAAAAAACACATGCCCTGTCACACCACATCCAACTCTTTATACTTTTAATAACATAAAATAGTAATATACTTTAAAAAAGACTTCTAGTTATATATATATATATATATATATATATATATATATATATATATATATATTATTATTATTATTGGTAAACTATATTTACGTATCATTTCTATCTGTATTAATCATATCTACTTTTCTAAAATATATATATTAAAGGAGCATTTTTGTCTTAAAAAAATAAGCTAAGCGAATTTTAATGATTAGAGACGGTTTTGTAACAAAAAAAATTTTAAAAGAGATTTTGTTAAATCCTTACAAGTTAGGAGAGTTTTATGCAATTAGCCAATTTTATTTTAAAAAATAATTGTAAAAAAATTAGTGTACATTTTGCAATAACACGAAGAGTGACCCTCGTAATAAATTCGCGAATGATATCTAAATAATTAAATAAGCGAATTTTACTACCAACCCAATGAAATGATTTTAAACCAGTCACTGTTTAATATGTTTTCTTACATCCCGTTTTGGTTTCTCAGTGCAATTCTAATTCTATATTTTTCTCAAATATAATTTTATTTTTCTTCACTAAATGCAATATATTTTTGCAGTCCAAGGCGTAGTCTTCAATTAAGTAATGGAATATACATGAACACATTTTGTGAAACATAGATACTTATAAATCTTTGTAGATATCTTTTATTTTTTAAGGTCTTTTAAATTTTGTTTGTAAATAGTAAATATTTATTTTATTTTATTTTGTTTTTGGAATTTTATAGACTTTTAGTGATAAAATGAATTGAGATCATTTTTAAGATTTAAGCATGTGAACAGAACCATTATGTGATATTCTAATCTTTTTAAATTTGAAGTTTTAATAACTTATAATTATATGTTTACTATATATATATATATATATATTGGTTATGAAGAAAAGATGGGGGAAAAGGAAACAAATTTTATTTATTTTTAGATGAATAAAGTTGATTATTTAAATTATAATATTTTATTTTATTAATTCTTTGAATGAAAATACCTTAATCAAGGTTACCTTTGAAGTCACTGCAGTATTTTAATATATAAATATTGAATTTTTGAATGAATACAAGACATTTGAATCTAAACTTAATGGAGTTTATTTGAAGACACAGTAAAAATCGAATCTTGTAATTATATTTAAGAGAGGATAATGTAAGTTTGTGTTTGGATAAGTTAAGTGAAGAGATAGGGAGAGATAAGGAGGGATAGCTATCCCTCTTTATCTTTTATTTGCTTTCTCTTCAATTTTAAAAAGGTAGAAAGAGAAAGCATAGTAAGTGATATTTTGATAATACCAAAATTAATCTCCATAAATCAATATATAAATTTATTATTCCATTTAAGTCCCATAATTATGAAAAGGTCAAAAAATAATTTGTCTAATATTTTTTATTTTCTTTTGTCTTCTCTATCTTATCTAAATAACAATAACTATCCTTTCTTTTATTTCTTTTCTTATTTATCTAAACATATAAATTATTTCTTTTCATTTCTTTTCTCACGATTACTATCATTTCTTTTTGTTTTTTGTTTTTTCTCCACGTGCCTATCCAAACACACCCTCTGCATCTCTCATTTTCTTTCAGTAGGTAACCTTTTTTTTTAACCTTTTATTTTCTCCTTTTCTTTTCTGATACACCTCCAGGCACATGGCGACTTCGAAGACGATCACATTGACGAGCTTGGACGGCAAAACCTTCGAGGTGGAGGAGGCGACGGCGAAGGTGTCGGAGTTCCTGAAGAACCTGATTGAAGACTTTGACCACGGCGATCACAAATTTCCTCTGCCCGTGGACAGCGAAACCTTGGCCAAGGTAATGGAGTACTGCAAGAAGAATGCTGAGACCCCAAACTCCGGTGATAAGAACGCCGTCGATGATGAGCTCAAGAACTTTGATGCCGATTTCATAAAAAATATCGACCTGGATACCATATACGATCTCGTCCAGGTTCGCTCTTCTCTGTGTGTGATTCCGTTGATGGTAACTGTTTCAACCTCTTGATCATCTGATATTGCACTGTTTGTTGTTTGCCATCTTCACATTCAAGTTTATATATATGTGCGTGTATTTGAATTTTTTCTTAAAATTTTTTCAATAATGAAACTATGGGTGAGAAAATTGCAATCGAAGAACTAGGTGTGTTATAATTTAATAGTAATTTGAAACAAGTGGATTATGTGATAAGTAGGTTTGTTTGTGACATTGACTTAAATACACATGGTATTGTTAAATGTATGATATAAGTTGGGGAATTCAAATATTACATGTATTGGTGATGATATTATGTTTGTTCTTTGTAAGGTTGTGAGAAAATTGGGGTTGTGCTAATTGTTATCATTATTTTTATTCTTGATGATGTTTACTATATTTGTCGGTAATGTGTGTGATATTCACTATTAGTGATTTTTATGCTCTCAAGCTGTCTCCATACTGGTGTGTGGTGTTTCTCTTTTGGTCTCTGTATGTGTTATGTTTGAAAATTTCTGTTAAAAATTTGTAATTGATGAAGCTATGGGTGAGGAAACAATGTATTGCAACTGAATAACTAGATGTGTTTTATAAATGATAATAATTTGAAAGAATGAATTATATAAGGAGATAAATGAGTTTTCTTTGTGACATTCATTTAAACATGGAATTATTGAATATTTAATATGAGTTGGGTATTTTTTTAGGTAATGTTATTATTTTTTTCTTTGCAATGTTGTGAGAAACTTGGGTTATTGTTTTTTACTCATTATTGTTATTCTTGATGATGATGTTGTTTGGTTTTGTCATGTAACCAAATAAATATATGTTGCTGATTGATAATTATTTGGGATAAAACAAGAATTGTGGAAAGAAATTTGGGATATGTTATCTCTATGATATTTGGAGTGAGTTACTCTGGAACTATTGTGTAATTTATTTATTTATTTTCATGAAAAGATTGTTCATGCTCCTCAGTTTGTTATTTTAGTGTGTGGCTCTGTAAGGCAAAAAATTTGTATTGTCAATGTCAGGTTGCTTGGATAGGCGTGTGACTTTGTCCAGTTTCAAAGTTGATTAAGGAATAGTTTAGTTCCAATGATCTAATATTTTCCAACTAAGTCTGGATACAACTTTGGTCCATGCAGCAAGAACTGAAACTTTAGGTGCATGTCTGGTGTTGAATAATAAGGGGGAAAAGGGAAACTATGTTACATATTTAGTTCGTTCTTGATACTGGAAAGCCGAGTAACATTTTAGTGAAAGTATGAAGCAGATTATATTTTTGGAATTAGACCTTTCTATAGAATAGCGACCCTCGATTTGGCAAATAAAACATATGGGTACTCACCAAAGATTTATTAAATTTTTTATTTATATATTTATTTTTGATAATTAAAGAATTAAACTCAACAAAGATTTATTGCAATTATCTGGTCAATTCTTTTCTTGTATATTAGTATTAGATTGTGTAGTACTCTAAGTTGTAGTATGGACTTCTGATGTACATCTACTGCTCGACTCAACTCGATACAGATTTATTCCAAGTATATTCCGTCAGTTATATGAATACTGATTTTTCCATTTTTTATATAAGTTCAGCACATGCTATTATATTTTTCCTTCTATTTTTTTTTTGATAAGTCATATTTTTCCTTCTATTTTAATGCAAATTAATTTGATCTTTGTCTTTAGCAGTTGTAGCTGTTTTCCAATGGTGTGATTATTGGCATTTGTGTGTACATAGCCAAAACATTTTTTCAATACTTTATTTGACCTCATTGTTGGTCTTTGTGGCATAAGTCCAAATTATTATTGGTTTTCTGTTAATTTGTTAATTATGGCTTTACCATTATAGTTCCTTTCATGTGCTGGTTTTTCCCTTCCATTTAACAAAGCCATTAGTGGCATTTTGGTAGGCTTTTGAGCCATAGCGTCTATTTCTGATTCTTTAATTTTTGCTCGGTATTCGTCTTAATTTTTTGGAGAAGTTTTCATATCTCACTATTTTCGATATACTGATGTTTGTTTTATCCTTTTTTCAGGTAGCTAAGTATCTGGTCATCAGGGGCCTGCTAGATCTGACCGGTCAAGCACTGGCGGACATCCTCAAGGGAAAGACTCCGGAGGAGATTCGCAGGACATTTAACATTAAGAACGACTTCATTCCAGAGGAGGAAGACGAGGTCCATGAGGAGTCTGATTGAGCGTCCAACTGATACATAAAACGGCTATGCAAATATCAACAATATGATAGGTTTGCTTTGTCATAATATGATACAAGGTTTTTCATATGGTTCTTGTTTATCTTTTTATTGGTATGAATTTTGTTATAAACTTAGTGCCGGAAAGTTGGAAGTCCTTATTTCACATTGGACAGGTCAGAATTGTTAGCAAATAGAATTGAAGTTGGCATTGCATTTGACATGTGATGATTGATGTCTTGCCTTGTTTTCTCATCTTTCATACAGGTCTTGTTTATTTTCAAGTTTTACATTTGCTTATTTGTTTCCTGGATAATATTATTACAATTTGTTTTGTCTACTTTGAACAACATTGTGATAATATTGTTCTTTACATTCAGGAAAAAAAAAAAGTAATATTGTTCTTTATAAATTTGCTTAATGGAGATAAAAATGTAAAAGTTAAGTATAAAGATAAAAAGCCAGGAGCTGTGTGCCTGGTTCATGTAATTTGACCAATTCTGTTTTTATTATATAATTAGACCAATTTGTAGATTTCCTATTTTTATTATATCAATTAATAAATACTACTATATTTGAGTACCTTATTGTTTCTTGAATTTCACGTTGAAGTTTGCTTTCCGTAATACTATTTAATTATATTGCAGTGTAGGACCATCTATAGACTCCTTTTTTTATGAGAAATTATTAGATAATTTTGAATTATCTGTCACTTGGTGGTCCAATCCGGTCAAAAACTAATGTTCATATATATATATATATATATATATATATATATATATATCTTATTACCTTATTTTTAGAAATTATTAGATAATTTTGGACTATCTGTCACTTAGTGGTCGAATCCAATCAAAACTAATGTTCATTTATATATATTTTTGTAATATCTTATTGCACCCTTGTGAAAGTGTTTTGGTTGAACTGGACCATCAAGTGACAGATGGTCTTATCCCTAATGTTTGTACGAGGCTATGAGCCATTTTGGTGCTCTAAAAGGGTAAAATGATTCAAACGTATAATACTAGAAAGTCCTCCTTGGAAAAAAAAAATTAGTTGTCTTGTTAGACGGAACAAAATGAACTTTTAAAATGGCCTGAAGTAAACTTCAATCTTCTGAAAACTATTATCAGAAAGTCCAATGATAACCTAAAACTTACTGGCATTGTTTGAAAAGATCGTAACAAGTTGATCTCTTCAATACAATTTGCAATAGGGGTTTAGACTAGTTTCCTAGATTTTACAAAACTCAAACAATAAATCAAATTCACCTCTAACTATTATTTGACTTAATAATTCTAGACATCTAAAGGTAAAGAGTTGTTTGACTTGTGAGATGATGTAACCAAACATAATTTATTTGATTATGATTGAAAAATTCATTGAACAGACAATTTTTATTTCTGAATTTCATTCTAACGATAAGTTGTCATGAAAAAAATGCTTCGCAGGCTAGGTCTGCATGCCACGACTTTTTTTTTTTCTTTTTATTTTTTATTTTATCATGCCGTGACTAGATATTTATGAGATGGTATCGTTAAGATTCAAATGAATGTATCTATTAGTTATTTGTCTTTCGTATTGTTTACTTGGTTACATTTTCAACTTGTGTAGCATTTCTATTTGGTTCTAGCTTTAGTAATAGCGTATGAATTATGCAAATATTTTTCCAATTAATATCACTGCTATCCTGAAATGCGATAAAAGATAAGAGTTTTGTTTGAGGAGTCATAAAAGTAGGTAAAGTTGTTTTTTGCATTTCAATTATGTGATCATGTAAGGAAAGGAGCAATTACCTATCTTAGCCACTCATATAGAGAACAAAAAAGGGGAAATTAGAATTTGGTGACCAAAGTCACCAAACCTAAACAAAATTGCTCTAATGTGATGCCAAAGTCAACAAAAGATGAATAGTCACCAAATTTAAAACTTAAATGAAGTGATTAATTGAGGGTAATTTGGTCAAAAACACTAAAATTGTATATTTAAATACTGAAAAATTATTTTAAGAGGACTACTAAATTGTTCCTTGTAAGTCTTTGGGGTCATCCTTCTCTCTCCTTATTAATTCTCCCCTCTTCTTCCTTTTTCAGTTGTAGTCCACCGGCCAAAAAAATGGATTTCTTTATCATTCCAAGTTCAAATTCATTGATGCAACTTCAAATTTAACAAGTTCAAAAAATAGATGTTTGCCAAGCAGGTGAAAACGAATACAATTAGCAAAGCGATTCATTTGTAAACCCAAAGAAATTTATTTGATTAAACAACACATAAACCCACCACCATCTCCCAACCTCCTCTCTCTCTCTCTCTAACAAGCACCAAATCAAGTGAACGTTTCAAGTTGTCATTGGTGACAATAGTACTGTTGTCACGAAGTCTGGAAATTCCTTTTGTCACCAAAGACTCTCATGTTAGTTATCAACAGTAAATGCATAACATGAGGGCATCAGTATTAGCAGATTGTGTTTTTCTGATATGGAGCAAAATTAAGATGGATTTGACAAATGGGTTTTCAATTTTAGGGGTTTAAATAAGAAAATGCAAAAAAGAATTCAGAGTAAATTGCATTTGGGTTGGTTGGGTTAGTGGATATGAGGCAATGGAATTATCACATCTCATGTATCTTCGTCTTCTCTTGCAAGACCCACCCTAGTGCTATAATGCGCCGTGCTTTTGATTTGGTTCTTTGTTTTTCTCTTGGGATGCGTTCCCCTTTTGAATGCTTTCTAATACATTTTATTTATCAAAAAAAAAAAAAATGTGCCGTGCTTGTCAGACTGCAACATGAAGCAAAGAGTGTTTAATTGAGTTTAATGTTTTAGGGTAGTTTTGTCGAATAATAAAATAATTTATAGATGGATATTTCTGTATTAAATCATTAAATGGTCATTTGGTAGCGTTTTAAGTTATAAATTTGGTTACTATTCATCTTTTCTTGGCCTTAGTATATTGCATTTGGGTTGGTTGGGTTAGTGGATATGAGGCAAAGGAATTATCACATCTCATGTATCTTCGTCTTCTCTTTCAAGACCCACCCTAGTGCTAGAATGTGCCGTGCTTGTCGGACCACAACATGAAGTGAGATTGTTTAATTGAGTTTAATGTTGTATGGTAGATTTGTCCAATAATAAAATAATTTATTATAAGATGGATATTTCTGTATTAAATCATTAAATGGCCATTTGATAGCATTTAAAAAAAAATGGTTACTATTCATCTTTTCTCGACTTTGGGGTCACTTTCGAGCAATTTTGTTTAGGTTTGGTCACTAAAAACTAATTTTCCCAAAAAAAAAATGTAGGGGAAACCAGAATTATGGAATCTCCAAACAGAATCTCAGTTAATATCATATAATTTGTTCTCAATAGGTATATCAATCAAGAATACTATGAATGTTGCATGGATATACTTTTTGTTCATCTTCTTTTTATATGGTTTAGTCACTCGAAATTTTCAGCTTAAATAACATTGCTCCTCTTGTAATTGTAGAGTCCGGATTTTCTGCAGTGCACTGCACTGCACAATGCTGTAGGAGCTTTCAACACAATTAAATTCAGTTTGAAGTAATGTGTGGAACTAGATTGGAAGTAATGGTGTTGAAATTGAAAATGTAAAACATACTACAGCAGAAAACTCGCTACAACAGAGAATTCGGACGCATAATTGTAATATTAAAATATTTATCAAATGATATAATACTATATGAGTTTTCCAATAAGTATTCTAACTAAAAAGGGTCCAATAAGTCTACTAATCAATACAAAAAGAAACATAACCAATAAACATTTATGAGATGGTATCAATTAAGATTCAAATGAATGCATTTATTAGTTATTTGTTTTTCTTATTGTTTACATGGTTACATTTTCAAATTGTGTAGCATTTCTATTTGGTTCTAGCTTTAGTAATAACATATGGATTGTGAAAATAATATTCCGATTAACATCACTGGTATCCGGATATCCAATAAAACATAGTGATAATGTGAGGAAAGGGGCAATTACCTACCTAGCCACTCATATAGAAAACAAAAATGTTAGGGAAACTCCAAGCAAAATATAAATTAATATTATATAATTGTCCATTAACTCGATGGGTATATCAATCAAGAATACACTTCATTGTATAACAATTTTTTTTTTTCAAAGTGGAAGACTTAAATAGACTAATCAATGAAAATAAGAAGTAATCAATGAACACTGAAAAGATGACATCATATGAATGTCAATTAAAAATACTTTTTGTTCATCTTTTATTTATTTATTTTATATTGTTTAGTTTCTTTAAATTAAAAAATAACATGTCATAAATTACACTAACCTCTTTTTATTTTGTTTAGCTGCTATAAATTTTCAAGAACAACATGTAATAAAGTGAAAATGATTTTAAATAGGGTAAATTACAATGAGCTCCCCTGTAGAATGCCTAAATAACAGTGACCTCCTCTCTAGTTTAAAAAATAACAATGACCTCCCCTATACTTCTGGAGTAACACTGATCTCCCCCGTCATAAAATCTGTCAATGTTGTTTGTTGAGGTCATGCTTGAAAAAATTTGAAAACCTCATTTTGTCTTTGGAACGCTTGAAAAGGCATTTCTGTCCATATGTTGTAATGGTAAAAGTACAATGGGTATAATTATTCAGTTGCATATAGAACTCTTGAACATTTGATAATTATTTAGGATAAAAAAAGAATTTGGAAGAAATTTGGGATCATCAGAATTGTTTATGATATTTGGAGTTACTCTGGAACTATTGAATAATTTATTTATTTTTTACATAAAAAGATTGCTCATGACTTCATGCAATTGTTTTTGTGTTGTTTAATGGACTTTTTTATTTATTTATTAGAATGATGTTTTCCCCCGCCCCCTTGCAACGTCATGTTAAAGTGACAATATCACAGACAGACACAGTAAATAATTAAGTTTGTGATTAAGTGAGTGGCTCTGCAAAATTTTTTTATTGTCATTGTCATTGTCAAATTGCTTGGATACCCTGGAAGTTCTTGAAGACAGTTTTCCCGAGCCTAGAAAAGGTAGAAACACCAAATTTATGGCAGTCAAGTTAAAATGTATGATCTTTTCTTGAACGGATTATCTCGTGGAACAATCAAAAAATTGCGAATATGGTCCAAGTAATAAATGCCAAAGTATCCTTTGGGTCCCAAAAATATGAGCTTGTTTTATAGCAGTAGTAATTAATTGTTGTTTTTTCAAGGTCGAGGCTTGTGACTTTGTTTAATTTAAAAGTTCATTGAGGTATAGTTTAGTTTCAATGATCTAATATTTTCCAACTAAATCCCAGGTCTGTATACAACTAGGGTCCATGCAACAAGAACTGATACTTCAGGTGCATTTCTGGCGTTGAAAGGGGAAAAGGGGACACTATGTTACATATTTAGTTCTGTTTTGATACTGGAAAGCTGAGTAACAGCGTGTAGTGAAAGTATAACAGATCGCATTTTCAAAACTAGACCTTTCTATAGGATACTGACCCCTCGTTTGGCAAATAAAACATATTGGGTAATTAGGTCTGCAGCGAAGCCTATGTGATTGATTGATATTTTGTAACTGAAAGGTCTCCACTTAGGCAGGCTAGGCTTGATTTGAATTGTTATGTGATTACCTACGCACGGTAGATAAAATCATAAAAGTATACAGTACTCTATGTTTTATGTGCTTCTGCTACTAGATTCAACTTAACAAAGATTTAATTCTTTATTTATTTATTTATTTTTATATTTATTTTTGATAAGTAAAGAATTTAACTCAACAAAGATTTATTCCAATTATCTGGTCAAATCTTTTCTTTTATATTGTGGGGTTCTTTTCTGTTGTACATCTACTGCTCAACTCAACTCAAAACAGATTTGTTCCAACTATGTTCTGTCAATTATATGAATACTGATTTTTAAATTTTTTGATATAAATTCAGTTAATGCACATGCTATTATATTTTTCCTTTCTATTTTAATGCGAACTAATTTGATCTTCTTCTTTGACAGTATCATGTAGCTAGTTTTCAATAGTGCGATTGTTGGCATTTGTCTACATGGCCAGAACATCTTTTTTTTATTTTTTATATGACCTCGTTGTTGGCCTTTGTCGCATAAATCCAAATTATCATGGATTTTTTATTAATTTGTTAATTTTGGATTTACCATTGTAGGTTTTCTTGTATGTGCTTTTTTTTCCTGCCATGTAACAAAGCCATTAGAGCCATATCGTGCACTCCTGATCCTTCAATTTTTGTTTGGTATTCATCTTAATTTTTTTAAGAAGTTAAGTTTTCATATCTTGCTATATTTGATATACTGATGTTTGTTTTATCCTTTTTTCAGGCGGCTAAGTATCTGAACGTGAAGGGCATGCTAGATCTGACCTGTTAAGTAGTGGCAGACATTATCAAGGAAAATACTCTGGAGGAGGTTCGCAGGACATTTAACATTAAGAATGACTGCATTCCAAAGGAGGAAGATGGGGTCCACAAGGAGTCTGATTAGACAACCAACTGATACATAAAACTGCTATGCAAATATCGATGGTATGATAAGTTCGCTATTAACATTTTCTTTAGATTAGAAAATATATGGTTTTGCGTGGGCATTCAAGTGAAACATAAGTGGCAACAAAATGTCAATACTCTAATAGATTTTCTGTCTTACAATATATGCTGCGCACATTTTCTTTAGATTGGTAAATATATGGTTTCTCATTGCTTTATAAAAACTTTTGACTTCCTAGCCATGGAATTTAACAAATATGAACATTCTTTTTGTCATAGTTTGAAGCCCTTCTTATTTCACATTTGTTGGATAGGACCGAATGGTTAGTAGATAGAATTGAAGTTATCTTGCCTTGTTTGTCATCTTTCATCTTACTTCTGGTCTTGTTTGTTGTCATGTTTTTACATTTGCTTCTTTGCTCCCTTGATAATATTATTACAACTTGTTTTGGCTCTTGAGTCTTGAGGCACCATTCAGTTCTATTGATCCTGTTGCTTTACAATGTTGTGTTTGTGCTCCTTAACTATGAGTTAGGTTTCAAGGCTTAAATGAAATCACATAAAATTGATCAAGGTCCACTTAAATGTTTCGTGTCGACACTTCTTAAGATAGTTATTTGCTTTAGCTACTAAATTAGGTCAGTCATCTGGGTTGCTTGATTATTTTGCTGTAATGTTATGGAGAAGGAACAACATTTGCTTTGTAAACAATACTTCATGTTATCTCCTCCTCCCTAAAAGTAAATTTGCTTCAAACCAATCTATCTCTTATCCACCTAACCTCAGTACTCATCTTTGTTTCCCTCTTCAATGTTACATGCTCTTTTCAGTGCTTTTCGTGACTAATTGACCCAGATATTTAGCCTCAGTTTGTTTCAATGTAAAATGTTTTTCAGGAATTTTTTTATTTTTATTATTTTGGTGTTTGGTTGTCTTAAAAATAAGAAAATATTTTAATTGAAAAAATCTTTTACGGACTTGCTAAAAAAAGGAGTTACCAACAAAATTTTGGTAAATCATTTTCCACCCTCATATGCCATCGTGGATTGACAAAACCCTAGACTTAATTCACGTTTGGAGAGGTTGTCGAGTGAGAAGAGATGTTCGCGATTTTTGGAGAATTGTACCACATTGTGTATGGTGGTGCATTTGGAAGGAGAGAAATAGCAAAATGTTTGAAGGGAAATAGTCGCCCACGGCAATGGTCAAACTTTACATTCTTCGTTCTCTTTTCAATTATGTGAAGGGGAGCTTTTGTTCTTCTTCTGATGATTTAATTACTTTCTTGGATTCTTTAGGGCCTTAGCCCCGGTTCCACTTTTGTAATTGGGACGCGTTCCCCTTTTGAAATCCTTTTTTAATGTTATTTTTACTTATAAAAAAAAAAAAAAAAAAAAAAAAAATGAGGTATGAATCCATTTTCTTGTATATCCACACATATATGTTTTCTCTCTATTTAGCAATTAATTTTTTGGTTTCATTCTAAAATTCCATATGGTTTGTTGTTACTTTTGAGTTTCAGAATAGTAGAATCAATTCTAGTTGCCAATCTTCACCACATTTGATCTCTGTTCCTCTTCTCTTTCGTGTGACAGCTTCTAATTTCTCTGTAAATTTATGTGTGTGTAAATATATATTTGTGTAATAAATTTTTATTTTTATTTTTATTTTATATTGATATGTGCCATTGGTTTATAGTTTCGGAATTGGGTACGTGTTTATGATTGATTGGTTGCATCAATTTTGATAAATAGCTTTTAATCTGTTGCTTTTTTTTTTTTTGGGATCAGTTATATAGATCTATATAATGGTTATATATTATGGGTTTGTTCCCATTGCACTTGTCAAAAAAAAAAAAAAAAAAATTATGGGTTTGTTCCCATTGCAGATGCAAATGTTGCAATTAATCTTTGATTCTGTTTTGCTGATTTTGAAAAACTCTCATATTTGGTTCCTTAATATATCTTATCTGTTCAATTCTATGAATAAGGCTTTTAATTGGTTTGTACCAGTATGAATGGAAGTTACACCTGTTAGCTGGGTTTCCATTTGTCTTAGTATTTGTATCAGATGTTCCATTTAAACTAAACAAGATAAGATGTGAGTTTGAGCTATGTTGTCTTTGACATTGTGATGGCTCATATACGGAAACATGAAATTACTACCATTCTGTTTGTTTAGGTAGTTTGACCATCATAGTATTCGATTAGGAAATGATATAATTATTTTCACATCCCACATTCTGTTTGTTTCCTCTTTAATCAAATGAGGTAATTTTTTTGTTTGTTTTTACAATAGTTTTTTAGTGTCTTTGCCGGTGCGTTGGATTTGAGATCCCTATTTCTATGGTACAAATATCCTTTCTACATTCCTATCAACAAGTTAAAATTGAAAGTTAAGAAATGATACATGATTAAATTAATCTCACTCCTCTCTGATACTTTAATATTCTAATAACTGAATTTGACATCTTAAAATCAAGGTAAAGGGTGATTGGTGAAGAGTATAATTGTTAATGACAAAATATCTTTACAATAAAGCTTTTTTATTTTTTAATGAATTTGGGAATATTGCTCAAGGTAACGATTAATGGTCTATGACTTTATGATAAAGAGGGAATATATATGCTAAAAGCGAACAATGCAAGGCATGAAGGTAGTTGCATTCCTTTTTTCCCCCCCTTAATTGCACCTCATTCGACTCGTACATTTATTATAATATATTGTGATAAAGTGCACTATTTAATACATGTCAATATTGCCAGAATGCGTAGAGACTTGGACTTATTCCATTGGAAGCTTTCTGTTTTGTATAATCTCAACTTGTTCCAACCCAAACTGATATTTGTAATTATTAACTAACTGCTGCTCAAATAAGAGCTTAGAAAGCTTCATTCATATTTAAGTTTAGCTGCAACTTTATTCTGCAAGTAATGTGTGGTGAAAAAATTACAGAAAATAAATCAAACACACACAAGAACACACAGATTTTATGTGGTTCACCCAAAAACTAGTGTTACGTTCACGGGTTGCAGAGATTTCACCATATTCAGAAAAACGACGCACATTACAAAGAGTGTAGAATGAATTAAATACCCTCCACTAGGGCAACATAATAAGTGCGGAATATACCAAAAGACCCCCCAAATATTCGTGTAAGACCCCGAACCCCCACCTTCGGGCTGGGGGCACCGCTCTACCACAACCAACTTACCGTGAAGTTAGGCTAAGGTGTACAGTACTTTTCAGGCTCCACACTCCCCATCACAATATTCGTGCAAATAGCTACATAAATGAGGAGTATCATTTCCATTAACTAGTTACTTGCCTATTTCATCTTTCTGACTAGTATACTTTCTTATTTTCAGTTTTTTCTTATTTTTTTTTTGGTTTGATTTTCAGTTTAGTGCTAGGCAAGTATTATTATTGAATCATCTTTGTAGCGTGAGTTGATTTGAGTCTGATCTAATCTGATTTATGATTGAAAAACTTAGCTTTGATCCTCATCTCATTCGTTTCTCTGTTAGGTGGTACTTTTAGTGTAAATGCAAACAAAGCACAAATTTTAGCTAGAGATGAGTCATAGAATTCCTATAGCTTGCTCTTTCCATATTTGTTTTGGTATGTTCAGTTTAGCTATTGCATAATGCTCCAAGTTGTATATATAATATACATGTGTGAGCCAAGCAATACCCATTAAGAAGGTGGACATTTAAACTTTGGATTATAAACCCTTTTGATTCCAAGAAAAATGGAATAACCCCCCCCCCCCCCCCCCCCCCCCCCCCCCTAATATGAAATATTGGCATTGATTGGATTGGGTCAATGGGTCTTAATCATTTCCTCTTTGAGTACATACTAATCTGTTCGGTTGGTTGGTACTTTATAGTTTATGGTTTCTTGATCTGGTTGGTGTATAATAAGCCGCTTCTTGGTTGTTCTGTTGGTTGATACTGGATAGTTTATGGTTTTGTGATATTAATATTATGAGTTGGGTTTTTGAACAAATTTGTCGAAGGTAAATTGTCAATTTTGATTGTTTCAGGTAGTCTCGTTTCTAAGATATCAAAATTTTCAACAAATCAAGTTACTTCACCGAGCTATTGCTTGCACTAGTTGGCCTCTCACCTGATTTGGGCCTCCTGAAAAGGTTATTTTGAAGACATTGCCTACACTTGAATCCTTCAGCTAAAGGACACAATTAAACATCTTTGCAAAGATTTTGATTTTGATTTTTTTTGCTAATACTCGCTTTCAGTTGTCAAATTTTAACTATTTATTTATTTATGTAAATATTTCTATCTTTGCTTTGTATTGCTTTGATTATTTTTATTGAGTGTTGTGTTTTTTCTTTAACTTTTCAAAGTTGACGAATTTTTGCACTTACTCTTTGGCGCTGTCTGTGGGAATACGTATAGAAATATACCCCCACACGAGTGCAGTAGATCAACAGATGGAATTGATGCAGAAGATGCGTGAAGAGTTTATGCAACAGTTCGAGACGCTCCGACAAGCAAAAGAAGCCAGCACGGCTCAAATCACGTTGCTTCAGTAACGAAATGATGCTTTTCAGACAACTATAGAGTAGATGGCGGCACAGCCACCACCAGCTAATGCTAACCTGCTGAACGAAGCCCAAGGAGGTCTCCCGAACCCCGCTATACCTCTAGGGCGGAAGCCCAAGCCAGCGAGGGACAGAGGGAGCAGAGGCGAGAACGTCAGAGAACCACCCCCACCAGCGTGAGCATGACGAACAGGCCGAATTCAGTGGCAAACTCACAGTATGGTCCAACGGCATCCCAGATCCCTTTGACGAAAGAAGGATGCTGAGGGTTTAGACGCCAGGAGAGATGAAAGAATTAGTAGTATCAGCATCTCCATGAATATGAATGCAAAAAATGGTGTCCAGGGTCGAAAAAGATGGTGTCCGAGGCCGTTCGGTGGCAGTCTTCTCGTGAGATGTGATAGTGATAGGCAACATTGTTGTTGAGTAGTTCAAAATCTTCGGTGATTACAAGGTTTCGTGGGCGATCAACGTTGCTGGCAAATTAATTCTCTAAATTTGCAGAGCACTGACGAAGTCTAGAATTTGTTGGTTATTTTCCGATAATGCTTTGGACGATGTAGTTGTAAGCTTTCTTTTCTATTCTGGTGGTCCCATATCATACCACACCCCTTTGGAGACACCAGTTTTTTCTAGATGGTTGGTTGTAGATATTGTTGGAGTCACCAAACTCGTTTTGTGAGATTGGCTTTTTTTGTGATCGATAATGAATGAAATGTTGGACTTGGCCAGCGTCGACGACAAAGGCCAAGAACACGAACACCATTATAGATCAGATTAATAATTTCTAGGTTGTAATTTGTTGGGACTAGAACACGTTTTTACATAGACGCAACGGTCGGAGATTCCTGCAAGACGAGAAATAACGATTAGCGTGGTGCCAACTGGATGCACTTTAACGATCAAGTTAGTACTTATTATGAATATTTTATAAATGATTAAATATAAAATTTATGCCTTATGTTTTTAAATTGACTGATAACCCTTTTTTTATAGAAACATTTATAGTAGTGTCTTATTGTGAAACCTCTTCTTACCCCTAACAAATTGTTTGGATCGGTGGTTTGTTACCTCCACTACGTTTTAGCCCCTTTTGGCTTGTATGTCGGCTGAACTTTCTAGGTTTATTATTCCGTACGCATACTAATCAAAAAAATTGTTTGCATATATCAATATAATTAAAAAAAAAATGTGTTTGTATGTATTAATATAAATATGACCATATTGTTATACATATATATATATATATATATGTGGGGACCACAATAAAGTTACTCATCAACCACTATAAAGTTAGTCATCAATGATAAACCAATTCAGCGTGAGAAGGAAGATTGCAAGAGTAGCTTACAGTGGACGCCTCGGTTTAAGCCCATAAATAGGCATGTATGTAACTCATTTGTATTGATCTAAAAACAATGAGCAGCTATTTCATTCTCTCTCTCTCTCTCTCTCTCTCTATCTATTAAAGTTTCATTACATTTCTATAATAAATATTACTATATATATATATATATATATATAAATATATACACACATATATTTATTATACGTTATCAGTGCGAGCTCCATCCATCTCAGATTTGAAGAAAAAGTTTTCTCTCCCTCTTTCTATCCCAACTATATATCTATTTTGTGATATTAGTTTTGATAGATTGTTGGGTTGGTTTGCTTTATCAAAGAAAATAATATTTCTGACTCCAAAGGGTAAGAAAATTTTAATTATAGATTAGTGTTCATAAAATAAATTTGTTCACTTAAATGATATATGTGCTTACATTATGATCGGTCTTACCACATTTATTATTTAATGTTTTATGGCTGGTTTTACCTCCTTTATTGTTTAATAATTTATTTACTATGGCTAGATTTATCATCTTTATTATTTAAATAATTTATATTATGTTATTATTTTATTTAATGTCATTTTATTTTATATACTATGCTAAATTATATTTTTATATTGTTGTTACATCTAGTTATTCTGAAAATGTCAAATTTGATAAAACTGGAATTCGTGGCCCTGGATATTTCTGGCAAAAATTATTTATCTTGGATTCTGGATGCTTAGATCCATTTGGATGCCATGGGCCTTGGAGACACAATCAAAGAAAAAAAATGATGCATTATTACAAGATAAAGCAAATGCCATGATTTTCCTTCGGCGCCATATTAGTGAGGAACTGAAAACTGAATACCTCACTGAAAGAGATCCACTTTGTTTGCGGAATAATTTGAAAGAAAGATATGATCATAAAAAAACAGTTATCCTCCCAAAGGCCAGGGTTGATTGGTTGCAACTGAGGTTGCAAGATTTTAAAACTGTAGCTGAATATAACTCTGCTCTATTCAAAATCAGCTCTACATTGAAATTATGTGGTGATACTGTTACTGATGAACTTTTGCTAGAAAAAACATTCACCACTTTTCACGCCTCGAATGTACTCTTGCAACAACAATATCGAGAGCGTAGATTTAAAAAATATTCAGAGGTGATATCATGTTTGCTTGTGGCAGAGCAAAATAATGAGCTTTTTGTTAAGAAACCACCAGTCCCGTCCAATTGGATCGACATCGATCCCTTAAACATATGTTGCCTCATCCCGTGGTCGTGGACGCGGACGTAGACATGGTCGTGGTGGTAGAAATGAATATGGTCGTGGTAAAAATAACTACCATAATAATGAATATGGTCGTGGTAGAAATCATTCTTATTATCATGAAGGATATCAATCCTCACATTTTCGCAATCAGAGATCCACACCATATCCTCAAAGGAAAGATCATAAGTAAAAGGGAAGGATGTGGCTCAACCTTTTAAGGCTCATGATAATACTTGTTACTGATATGGAATGACGGGGCATTGGCAAAGCATTTGTCGTACACCTAAGCATCTGACTGACCTTTACCAAGCCTCAATAAAAGAAAAAGGGAAACAAAAGGAAATGAATTTCCTTGATTATGATGAGCCAGTTGACACCACAACTCTGGAAATGAATTTCATTAATCATGATGAGTCAGTTAACATCACAAATCTGGATGTATCAGATTTTTGTGAGGACCGTGATGGAAGAATAGACTTTCTAATTGGTGATGGAAGTGTCTACACCAATTAATCTTACTTTATTTTCATATTCTGTCTACTATGTTTTTATTTTCCTTGTATTAAAGTTTTTATCTTCTAGTTTGTATTAAAGTTTATTTTGTTATAAAAGTTTCTTTTCTGATAAAGAAATTTGCATGAATAGGAATGGATCTAACTAGTTCCAAAATAAATGGTGAAGATATATGTTTTGCAGATAGTGGAACGACACACATAATCTTTCGAGATCAAAAATATTTTTCCCACTTAATTCTGATAGACGTCAGTGTCAGTACTATATCAGGTCTCACCGACTTGATTGAAGGCTCTGGACGAGCCTACATCATTTTACTATATGGAACAAGATTACAAAACAATGATGCCTTATATTCTACAAGATCCCGGAGAAATTTGTTAAGTTTTAAAGATTTGCATCGTAATGGGTATCATATTGAGACCGCAAATGAAAGAAATGTGGAATATCTCTACATTACTTCCATTACCTCAGGCAAGAAGCTGATATTAGAAAAACTCTCTGTTTTCTATTCTGGGTTATACTATACAACCATTAGGACAATTGAGTCAAATGCTGTGATTCATAAAATATCTTGTGACCCAAACCTTTTTATGCTTTGGCATGATCGATTTGGTCACCCAAGGAGTACAATGATGCGTCGAATTATTGAAAATTCGCATGGACACCCACTAAAGGATCAAAAAATCATCTTGCCAAATAATCATTTATGCACCGCCTGCTCACAAGGTAAGTTGATTATCAGACCATCCCCTTCAAAAGTCATTGTTGAGTCTCCTCCATTTTTACAACGAATTCATGGGGATATGTGGGCCAATTTATCCACCTTTTGGACCATTTCGTTATTTTATGGTCTTAATTGATGCCTCAACATGATGGTCACATGTTTGTTTACTTTATACTCGTAATGTTGCATTTGCTAGACTCCTTGCTCAAATCATCAAATTACGGGTACACTTTCCTGATTACCTAATTAAGACAATTCGTCTTGATAATGCCGCTGAATTTTTTTCTCAAGCTTTTGATGATTATTGCATGTCAGTTGGAATTAATGTTGAACACCCTGTTGCACACACTCATACTCAAAATGGTATGGTTGAATTTTTTATTAAAAGACTTCAGTTAATTGGTCGTCCTTTACTTATGCGAACAAAATTACTTGTTTCTGCCTGGGGTCATGCCATATTACATGCTGCATCATTAGTTCGTATACGACCAACTGCTTATCATAAGTACTCATCATTGCAACTTGTTTTTGGTCAACAATCAAATATCTCCCACATACGAGTTTTTGGTTGTGCTGTATATATTCCAATTGTACCACCCCAACGCACTAAAATGGGTCCTCAACGTAGACTTGGAATTTATGTTGATTTTGATTCTCCATCGATTATTAGATATCTTGAACTCCTGACAGGTGATGTCTTTAAAGTACGATTTGCTGACTGTCATTTCGATGAGAGTGTTTTCCTACCATTAGGGGGAGAAAAGGCATAGCAGCAACGTGATCTTACTTGGAATGCCTTGGAATTGTCTCATTTTGATACTCGTACAAATCAATGTGAACGAGAAGTTCAGAGGATCATTCACTTACAAAATGTTGCAAATCAATTACCTGATGTATTTACTGATACAAAGCAAGCGATAAAATCACATATACCAGCTGCAAATATTCCAGCTTGAATTGCTGTGCCTAAGGGTCCTTCTGTTACTAATGCAGTAAATATATCTAAAACACGCCTGAAGTGTGACAGACCAGTTGGTGCAAAAGATATTGCTCCTCGTAAGAGAAAATCACAAAGAAAAGCTGGCACTCCTGAAGAGACCACAAAAGGAGTAACAGATATTATTGATCAATTTGAGATAATAGCCTTTGATAAGGTAGAGGCTCTTAATGAGTCTCAGGTACCTAAAAATGATGAAATAATAAATATTGATGAGGCAAAAGCAACAAATGATGATATGGCCCTTGATGAGGCACATGCCCTTAATGAGGCAAAGGTACCTGAAAATGATGAGATCACATTAAATTATGAAACGAGATGGAATAGAAATGAAATTGTTGTCACAACATATTCTCATATCTCGTTGCTCTTGATATTGATAATGAGGATCCGGAACCTCAAAACGTTGAAGAATGTCGACGAAAAAATGATTGGTCAAAATGGAAAGAAACGATACAATCAGAGCTAAATTCATTAGCTAAACGTGAAATATTTGGACCCGTAGTCCAGACACCTGAGGGTGTTAATCCTGTTGGGTACAAATGGGTGTTTGTACGAAAGCGTAATGAGAAAAATGAAATCGTGAGATACAAAGCTCGACTAGTAGCTCAAGGTTTCTCACAGAGACCTGGTATTGATTACGAGGAAACATACTCCCCTGTGATTGATGCACCCGCTTTTAGATTCATAATACATTTGGCAGTCACAGAAAGATTACTTATGCATCTAATGGACGTGGTTACAGCATATTTATATGGATCACTAGATAGTGATATTTATATGAAAATTCCAGAAGGATTTAAAATGTTTGAAACAAAACCACGTAATATATACTCGATAAAATTACAACGATCCTTGTATGGATTGAAGCAATCTGGATGAATGTGGTATAATCGCCTTAGCGATTACTTACTCAAAGAAGGGTATGTGAACAGTCATATTTGTCCATGCATTTTTATTAACAAATCAGAATCTGGTTTTGTTATTGTTGCAGTATATGTTGATGATCTGAACCTCGTGGGAACATGAACTCTAGAAAAAAGGTGATATTGATATTCAGAAGATACGTTCATGTGAAAATCTAGCAGATCTTTTTACTAAAATGCTTCCAACTACAACATTCAAGAAGCTGGTGCACAATATTGAAATGTGTCAACTAAAGGATCTTCAGGGTTAAACTAATGAGGGGGAGCAATTGATCAAAGAGGTATTGGCATGCTGTACTCTTTTTCCTTCGTTCAGGTTTTATCCCACTGGGTTTTCTTGACAAGGTTTTAATGAGGCAGTCATAATACATGCAATACCATTTTCAGATACACAAGAATATTGTACTCTTTTCCCTTCGCTAGGGTTTTGTCCCACTGAATTTTACTTAGCAAGGTTTTAACGAGGTATATTCTTAATGTAATATTGTGGACCCCAAAAAGGAGTGTTATATATATTTATATATATTTGGGGACCACAATAAAGTTACTCATCAACCACAATAAAGTTAGTCATCAATGATGAAACCAATTCAGCGAAGGAAGATAACAAGAGTAGCTTACAGTGGACGCCTCAGTTTAAGCCTATAAATAGGCATGTATGTAACTCATTTGTATTGATCTAAAAACAATGAGCAGCTATTTCATTCTCCATCTTTTACGTTCTCTCTCTCTCTCTCTCTCTCTCTCTATTAAAGTTTCATTAAATTTCTATAATAAATATATCTTATTTTATGTTAGTAGTATTTGATCTGGCTCAGACCAGCCATTTCCTCAAACGTAATTGAGCAACATGACCAAACAATAGTCATCAGCAACTGTCAAAGCGATGACGTCATGCTGCTGATGTCAGAGACGGCACGGTGGGTTATTCCTGCGACACAAGAGAAGTAACATGTATCAATATATTTAAAAGAAGTTGGGACAAGAGTTCATAAAAAGTGATCTTATTTTATATTAGTAGTATGTGATCCGGCTCAGATGCCTCGGATATTTTGTGGTGACACAATAATCTACACCAACCATTTCGTGAAACACAATTAAGCAACATGACCAAACAATAGTCATCAGCAACTGTCAAAGCGATGGCGTCATGCTGTTGACGTCAGTTCTCCAACGTCACTTTGAAGAAACTTATACCAAACACGGACATTAGTAGTGGCCAAAGAACAAACGTGTCATCCTCCGCTTGGACCGTGGCATTTAAGTCTTTTCACATGGGTGGGCAGGGAAATCTCTCTAATTATAAATTCCCAGCCCCACGAAGGAATTTGCAGACGCCACACATTGACGTAATGTGATTGGTGACATTCTCTTACCAAACAATGGAAAATGAGAGGAGTGAGAAAAATGGTTCTCACCAAGAAGAAGAAGAAGAAGAAGAAGGAGGAGATGATGAGAAGATGGAAAAGTTTTTCGCTTTGATCAGAAACTTTCGAGAAGCACGTAATATTCGAAGAAGCCAATTGAGCGAATCTTCGTCGAAGGAAGAAGGGAGGGAGATGAAGAAGAAGAGGAAATCAGGCAATGATCAGAACAAGTCGAGTTGGATTCCGTCGTTCGAATGGGAAGATTTCACGGCCGATACATCAGAGTTCAGAAAGACTCCACCTGTACCTGTAATTTGTAAAAAGAAAAGGGACAAGAAAGAATCAAATGATGATGATGATGAGAGTGGCTTAGACCTCAAGCTCACACTCTAATTTTTTAGTTGCACCCAATTGATCAAAACCAAACAGAAGGAAATTGGGTTGTTTTGAATCATGATTTATTCATCCTTTAATCTTTTGTCAACTTGATTCTTTATTATTATTATTATTATATTTTTAATTTGTGTGGATGAATCTTTCTAATATGGAAATCCGGAATTAAATTGAATCAGTCCACAATCTCAGCTTCAGTTACAAATTCAATATCATGTATACATATATAAAAAATAAAAATAAAAATAAACAAAAATTCACAAAAGAATCAGTTCACTCCGTAAATAGATATTTAACTCAACATAATGATAGCCATTTTATCCAACATAAACAATTAGAATATATTGGTCTAAATGATAGGAGAGAGAAGGAAATGATTTGTGAGTTTCGGTTTTGTATTTAAACAAGTGGAAATTTTTTTCAATAATAATTATATATGCATTATTACGAGGAACGTGCTATTTTATTTTTATTTTTTTGGAATTATGTTGAAATTGGTTAATTGAAGATACAATAATTTACAATATTTACTTGTGTATTTTTATTTTGGAATTAATGGAGGTGATTTAACGAGACTTTATTAGACTTTTTATTTAAAAAAATAAAAAAATATTTAGAAATTAGGAGAGGCTTACACTTTTAGAATAGTTATGCCCTCTCGAAACCCCCCCACCTTGCGCGAATCTACCTGCGAGACCATGGATGGTTCTTCACCTACACACCCTCTACCTGTCCAACCTTCCCCCAGCCCTATCTGTGACCACCCCAATGACCTTATTCACGCTCCTCACCCCATTAATGGGGCTGTAGATCGATAGCCTTGACATGGATTGTTCACCCCATGTTAATGCATTAGAGCCACTGCTGTTTGATGACAAAAGGAATCTTGATCTAGCCAAGCAAATGATTTCTGAGGCTCCATCAAGATATCTTGCTGATGCTGGGAAGGAACTTGACCAAGCTAGGGAGAAGATTGCTAGCTTAGAATCTTCAGTACTTAACAAGCTAATATCCAGAGGGGTAAAGGCAGATCAAGAGGTGGACCTAACAGAGGCTTTGGGAGATCCAGTTATGGATACAACAGCTATCACCATGGAGAACCAAGTCATGCGCCTAGTGAGCCAGGGCAATACATAAATCAGTCTAGATCCAGGGCTGTAACCAACCACTTTTCTGTGAAAGCTAGCCTACCTGCTAATCAAAGTTCTTCTAAGTTTCACCAAAATGGCAAGTCCAACTCTTCAAGCATCATTCTGTAGGTTGATAAGAACATAGATTTAGGATCTGGCCAAATAACTACTAGACATCCTAGCTGGGCTGCGATTACTGTTGGGCCACATGATCACTCTTCCAAGATGGAATTTGAGTACATTCCACCTCCTCCATCCAATGGTAAACTTATCCTGATTGAACCTCCTGGTGAGGTTGCAGAGGAAGGTGCTGAGGAATGGAAGACTTGTCTTGTTAGATATTTTATCCAAAAGAAGCTACCCTTCTCTTTTGTCAAAGATTCAGTTTCAAAGATATGGAGCAATAAAGGTCTAAAAGAAGTACTGGCTGATGATAAGGGTTTCTTTATGTTCAAATTCCTAATAGAAATGGAATGTAATAACATCATTGCCAATGGACCTTGTATGGTGATGGGAAGACCTATGTTCTTTAAAAAATGGCATAAGGGCATAGAAATTAATAAGGATTCTTGTAGATTTATACCTCTCTAGGTTAGATTCTATAATATCCCTTTTGAGTACTGGACAACTAAGGGGCTCAGTCATGTTATTAATGCAGTGCGAAAACCTCTCTTTGCTGATAGGCTCACTTAAAGTAAGACAAGACTGAGTTATGCTAGATTGTGTGTTGAAGTGGATGCCACCAAACCATTTGTTGAAGCATTCCAGCTCAAGGTAGCCAATGGGAGTTATTTTGATATCAAGGCTTAATTCTAGTGGAAACCTATGGTGTGTTCTTCTTGCTACTATTTTGGTCACCTAATAACTACATGCCCTACAAAGCAGAGCTTAAGCAAGCTAACCAAGGAGACCTCCAACTAGGGGAATGAATGGACAACTGTCCAAAGGAACACTCAATCAGCTGCATTGTTGGGTGGTGGCCATGAGGATCACTCTGATGTTGCTGCTGTTGTGGTTAATAGTGATGTCAATGGTTTTAAACCTATACAACAAATTGTGTCCAATCATGAACAAGGGCATAATGATCAAGAATTGACCACACAGGAGGTGCCCAGGTCAGAGGTACTTGAGGTCATTGAAGACATACCTGATAATAGGCTGAGGAATGAAGGAAGTTTGGTTTATGAGATACCTGAGGTACTCCTTATGGAGAATGTAAAACCTTCTGTTACCCCTAGTAGTTCCACTTCTACTTGCTCCTCAAGTTCTAACCAACTTAATGGCAAGGAGGATACTGTGGTTTCACAGCAAAAGGCTAAGAAGAAGAAGAAGAAGAAGAAGAAGAAGAAGGGAGGTGAATGCCCTATCTTACCTGTCTCAGCTTTTCTAGGGGTAGTACTTAAAACCCTGTCCTAATGATCCTAGCAGCTTGGAACATCAGGGGTCTCAATTTCCCAGACAAAAAAAGGAAATAAAATAACTCATTGCTAACTCCAACTTGCAATTTATTGCTATTAAAGAAACTAAGGTCCAAGAATCTATTGTAGGGGAGATCCACAGATACATTGCTCCTTCTTGGCACCTACTTCGCAACTATCCCTCTTCAAATCTAGGTAGAATCTTGGTCCTCTTTGATCCCACAAAGCTTAAAGTCCAGATGTTATCCTCTAATGCTCAAGCAATCCATTGCAGCATTACTACCATTGAAAACCATAACCATTTCTTTGTTTTTGTCATCTATGCATTTAATACTACTGTGTAGATGAATTCTTTGTAGAATGACATAAAATCTCAAGCTATGAGCTTCTCTCCCTCTCCTTGGGTCCTTTGTGTTGATTTCAACATTATTAGGCATCCATATGAGAATGCCGGAGGCTTTAGAAAGTGGAACTCAGGGATCACTGATATTAATAATTGTATTTTTGATGCTGAATTGTATGAGATGAGATATAGTGGTATTTATTTTACATGGACTAACATGACTCCTGGAAATACTAATATCTCAGGGAAACTTGATAAAGTCTTGGTGAATAACAGTTGGTTGTCCAAACTTTCTTTATCCAGCTGTGAGTTTCTTCATTATGGGATCTCTGATCACTCCCCAATGATTATTAATTTAGGAAGTGAACCTCTTAGGAAAAATATCCCTTTTAGATTCTTCAATTTCTTGGGAATTACAAGGATTTTTTGGCCACTGTGGCTTCTGTTTGGGAGCAAAATGTGCATGGTACTATAATGTCTCAGGTGGTTAGTAAGTTGAAGATACTTCAGATCAAGTTGAAAGCTTAAACAAGAAGGAATATAGTGAGATCTCTAAAAGAGTTATTGAGGCTAAGGATTACTAGGCTCAAACAAGGATTACTGCCCCAACTTTCTCTCCCACCTATCTCTAACTTTCTCTCTCTAACCCCTTTCGTCTTCTTCACTCTGTGCCTCCCTGCTCCCTTCCATGGGAGTGAGAAGATGATGGTTGCCTCCCACGACTGCAATAAACTCGGCATGTTTAAATAAGTGCGCTCCGTGGGTTTTTTTTTACGCCGTTTTTGTTTTGTTCGGCTAGATCTGTTCATGTTGAGTTCATTTTCGGATCACATGGGCGAATCTGTTGTTTTCTTCGACTAGATCTCTGGTCTAAGTCGGTTTTGGTTTTCTCCCGCCTAGATTTGATCTTTTTCTCCTTGATTTGATCTTGTGCGTGGTTTCTTGGGTGTCTGAGCGCCTTGTGGCTGTAACTTTGGAGCTGTTGCCTTGATGATGGTCTGACCTTTGGGTCACTCCAGTTTATTGTGTTTTTCCTATGGTGGTGCCGTTGTAGAGTTTAAGGTTCTGTTTTCTCCACAGATCTGGAACATGTTCTTCATTTTATTACTTTGCTTTATGATTTGTATATCTTTTCTGACTTGACTTTTTGTCTCTATACTGCCGTTGGCTTGGCCTTTATGCCTTTAAAATGATATATGATATTGTTTTTATGCTAAAAAAAAAAAGAAGAAGTTGTTACCTCCACTACTACGTTGTAGCCCTTTGGGCTTCTTTGGCGGCTTACCTCCACTACGTTGCATATCTCAATATAATTAAAAGAAATTGTTTGTATGTATCAATATAACCATATATTGGGACAAGAGTTCATAAAAAATGATCTTATTTTATGTTAGTAGTATCAGGGGTGGAAGGTTGGGGGGCACAAAATTATAAGCAACACTAGAACTTTTGGGAAAAAAAAATATATATTACGTAGGCTTTTACTATTTATTATATTCATACAAAAATATATCTATCTAAACTTTTGCCAATTTATTTTAATAAAAAAACTAGTTATTTAAATTAAGCTTTTTATCAAACTTTTTGAACAAACACAAATAAGATTTATGCCAAAATTATAAAAAAAATTAATTAAACAATTAGATTTTAATTTATAAAAAAAATAAAAAATTCATGTAATACTTGCACAAATTAATAATCATTACATAATATATCAATAAAAATTATAACTATGATAAAAAAAAAAAAAAAACACAAACAAATTAATAAAATAAGAATTTAGATTTTTCAATGAACGATTTTTGTTGATATTCAAAACTTCAAATGAAATTTTTGTTCTAAATTTTGTAAAAATTAATTTTTTTATAAAATTCTTATAAAAGCATTCCAATTAAAAAAAAAAAAAAAAGTAATTGTAAAGAATCATGTATGAGATGAAATTTTAGGATAATAAGGTTATGGAAAGAATCGTGATTGAGTTGAAAGAATTTTAAGATAGTCACAGTATGAAAAAAAACTGTGTTTAAGTTAAAATTTTAAGATAGTTACATTAAATTTGAGGAGTGCTAATTACAGTCACGTAAGCCACTGTCCATTCACAGTTACGATTGGTTAGTTTTAAATGCATTAACTACTTTAACTTTTTATTTTTATGGGATTCTACTAACATTACTTTTTAGATAAAAATACCCTTTTAAATTATGACTTTCTTTTTTATTTCTTTTTTTAATCGATTTATATGGAGATGTGTGCGTATATATGTATAATAATAATAATAATAATAATAATAATAATAATAATTGTAACTAATGTGCTGTGAATGGATGCTGAAAAAGGAAAAAAAAAAAAAAAAATTAGATAGGATAATCCATTCACAAGAAATGGATTCTAACAAAAAAATACAAAATTAGTTTTATATATGTATATATTTCTTTTTTTGGTGAATGAATTATTTCCTTTCATTTTATTTCATTTTTTTTTTTTTCTTAAAATCCATTTATAGAAGGACAGTTGTAAAAATAAAAAATAAAAACAAAAAGAAACATAAATACATATATAGGAAAAAACAAAAAAGAAGAAATATATAATCGATTTTTTTTTTCCCTACCTTTCTTTTTATTCATTTTGGATTTTTTTTCTCTTGTGAATGAATTATCTTATCTAGGTACTCTGAAAAAGGAAAAAAAATATAAATAGGATAATTCATTTACAAGAGAAAAAAATCCAAAAAGAATAAAAAGAAAGGTAAAAAAAAAAAAAAAAAAAAAAAAAATTGATTATATATTTCTTCTTTTTTTTTTTTTTTTTTCCTATATATATATATATATATATGTTTCTTTTTGTTTTTATTTTTTATTTTTACAACTATCCTTCTATAAATGGATTTTAAGAAAAAAAATGAAAAAAAAGAAAAGTAAATAATTCATTTACCAAAAAATATATATATACATATATAAAACTAATTTTGTATATATCTATTTTAAATCTCAGAATCTATCTTGTTCTTTTTTCTTCCTTTTTTTTAGATTTTATTTTATTTTATTATTATTTTTTTTTCACCATCTATTCACAGCACATTAGTTATAATAATAATAATAATAATAATAATTATATATATATATATATATATGGACACATTTTCATATGAATAGACATAATTTAAAAAGATATTTTTGTCTAAAAAATAATATTGATAGAGTTTCATAAAAATAAAAAATTAAAATAATAAATACATTTAAAACTAACAAATTCTAACTACAATTGTGAATGGCCAATCCCGATTACAATTAGCACCTCTTACATTTTTATATGAGTATTTGATCTGGCTGTGATGCCTCAGATATTTTGTGCTGACACAATAATCTACCCAACCATTTCCGCAAACATAATTAAGCAACATGACCAACAATTGTCATCAGCAACTGTCAAAGCGATGACGTCATGCTTTTGACGTCAGTTCTCCAACGTCTCTTTGAACAATAATGCCAAAGACCGACATCAGTAATGGCCAAAGAATAAACGTGTCATCCTTACCGTGGACCGGGGCATTTAAGTCTTTTCACATGAGCGGACTGGGAAATCTTTCTAATTCTCCGTATAAATTCCCATCCCCTCCCGACTAAGGAATTTGAAGACGCCACACATTGACGTATTGTGATTGGTGACATTCTTTTTTATTCAATTCTGTACAACCAAACAATGGAAAGTGAGAGGAATGAGAAAAATGGTTTTCACCAAGAAGAAGAAGAAGGAGGAGGAGGAGATGATGAGAAGATGGAAAAGTTTTTCGCTCTGATCAGAAACTTTCGAGAAGCACGTAATATTCGAAGAAGCCAATTGAGCGAATCGTCGTCGGAGGAAGAGGGGAGGGAGATGAAGAAGAAGAGGAAATCAGGCGATGATCAGAACAAATCGAGTTGGATTCCGTCGTTCGAATGGGAAGATTTCACGGCCGATACAACGGAGTTCAGAAAGACTCCACCTGTACCTGTAATTTGTAAAAAGAAAAGGGACAAGAAAGAATCAAATGATGATGATGAGAGTGGCTTAGACCTCAAGCTCACACTCTAATTTTTTAGTTGCACCCAATTGATCAAAACCAAACAGAAGGAAATTTGGTTGATTTGAATCATGATTTATTCATCCTTTAATCTCCTGTCATCTGGATTCTGTTTTTTTGTTTTTTTATTATTATTATATTTTTAATTTGTGTGGATGAATCTTTCAAATATGGAAATCCGGAATCAAATTGAACCAGTCCTTAATCTCAGCTTCAGTTACAAATTCAACATCATGTATACATATACAAAAAATTACAAATTAAAAATATACAAAAAATTACAAATTAAAACAAAAATTCACAAAAGAATCAATTCACTCCGTAAATAGATAATTTAACTCAATATAATAAGGGTTAAGGGCATTAAGCCCTCTTCAACTTTCTTCTCTTTCTCACAAAACCCCCCCCCCCCCACCCAAAACTATGACAATGACATTTAACTCCCTAAAAAAAACCCCCCCTAAACTATGACAATGACATTTAACTCCCTAAACTATTCTATTTGTTGCAAATGGTAACTCTACGTGAGGGGTAAAAAAAAATTAAAATGACAAAATTAGCCCTCATGACCCAATTAAGAGATAAATGTAAAACCCTTACCCTCGCTGGAGTAAAGTCTCCCTTAAGCTGAGTTGATCCTGGCCGGCGAAGATGTGTTCGATCGCCGAGCTGCAGCGCGGACCAACGGTAGAGACTCAAATTTCAGCCGTCTTTGAAGGTTTTTGCCTGCTAAATGCAATCCAATAACCCACAAACCAAAACCACCCCTCAACCCTCCGACGACGACGACTTTGACGGTAATCAGAAACCAAAAAACCCTCTTTAAGAAATTCAAGAAATTTCACAATACACCTCTCCTAAAAACAGAAAAAAGGTGGATCATTTCAATCTATAATCAATTTCTCCCATATATATATATATACACACACAACGATGAGTACACAGTGAGGGATAGAGTTGGGATGCGAAGATGAGTACACAGCGAGGGATGCGACACACATTGAGGGATAGAGTTGGGATGTGACACACATAGGGGAAAGAGAAAGCTGTACTCTGTGATGCCCAATTCACGTCGACCATGCTCCGGGAGCACATCGCTAGTAGCTGTAGTGTGATTAATTTCTGAGCGATCGCATAAAGTGATCCAATGACACACCTCAACCCAATTTACACTATTTAATAAATTGAACAAATTGGAATGTATCTAACCATCTGCATTAACCTCATTCAACATGACATCATCATACATCAGTGTACCTGCTTAACAATTTACAATTTAAACAAAATATAGGCCTGTTATGCAATTTTTGACAAACTAAATCGTTAACAACAAGTTACACCATTAAATTCTACTACAATATTTACATCTTAAACAAAAGACGTTTTATTGTTCCTTTCCCCATTCCCAATCAAGATTCTAGACCTGGTAGTAGCAACCCAACCTGATACCCGAAAAATGTCGATATGGAAGGAATGAGCTTAAAGCTCAGTGAATGCAACACTACTACATCAGAGTAATATAAACAAATATTATCTGATAACTTCAATTAAACTTCATTAATATATTACAGGCATTAAAGTATAGTACTCTCCTTCTAGGCCAGAGTATGGACCTTATTTAAATATAATACTCACTTTCTTGGTCAGAGTATGGACCTTATTTAATGTAGTACTCTCTTTCCAGGCCAGAGTGTGGACCTTATATAATATATTACTCTCCTTCCAGGCCAGAGTATGGACCTTATATAATATAATCAAATTATATATATTGATCTTCAATTCACATAAACAGCTTCAATACCTCAATTTAATCACATCCAAGTATAAACTTCTAGTGAGTACACTCACCTTGGCAACTTTTCAGTTTATTTATTTGTCCTGCAGTCCTGTTGATGTCGTCTTTTCCGTCTCCTTGCCTGAACAATATTATAATCATGTTATATTTATTTCTACATAAAATTAAATACTACGTATCCCCTCCAAAATAAATCTTAAATCCTCCATAATTGTAGTCACAATTTTCTAATCATAATAATTAGATTAAATCTCACCCAATGGACTTGAATCCCACTATAATTGTATTAATTCACGCAAGATCACAATTGGGGAAATTAATTAAAAGTAGAATAAATGAAATATTACTAAAATTTAAATAAATAACTTCCATTATAGAACCAAAAATACCAATTTTCTTACCTCACTGCTTCCGTACAACAACCCACCAGCCTTATTCTTTTCCTTTCTCCCTTTTCTCTCTTCCTTTCTCACTATTTTCCCCTCTCTATTCTCTTCGCTGGTCCGGCTTAGAATTCTCTAAGCCCACTATTTTATCTGTTATATCTAGACTTTGTTGTTATCTACTGAAAATCGAGAAACAAGTGATGCATAGGATATAAGGCATTGTGTTATAAATTGTTTTCTAACTGTTTATCTCAATAATTTATTATATCTCACAACAAAATGGTAGACCATACTATTCCCATTCAGTGTACACCCCTACCACTCATATGGTGACACATCTACGAGCACGTGTCACTTTGCTGGTCACTTGTATTCATTTTTTCGTGACTCATGTATGTTGATTACTAACAGCTTCCAAATGAAGCTTGTAGAATTTAGTATATCTATACTTACATATCTGTAGGTGTAGGTTTGATGTGTATATAACTTATTCCAGTAGTTTCCAACTTGTTCCAGCAGTTTCGCATACAAAAATATATATTCTATACTTGGTCAAACTACAAAGCTTATGTGATAAGCTTTAAATAACTTTAATTTATATTTATAATTATATATATATTAAAGTTATTATATATATATATATATATATATATATATATTTCAAACCATCACACCACTTCATTATTCACTAACTTCAGCACAACGCTTGATCCTAGCATACAAACCCATTTCATGGTATTCCACTAACACAAATATATCACTCTTTTCACTCATATCAGTTGTATAATTAATATTATTTCCAATTGGACTATAATTAGTAAGCTTCATACAAAATCTAACATTCACAAAATAAACTATTCCATATAATATTCATATATAAATCATGATAAACAAAAATTAAATTATGCTAACCAAATTAATTTTTGTTTTGTATCGGGGTATTACAATTCTTCCCCCTTTTAATTAATTTCGTCCTCGAAATTAAAATGCATGAAACATACCAAATAAGTGAGGATATTGCATTCTTATAGTTTCCTCGCTTTCCTAAGTCACTTCTTCAACCGTGTGACTCCTTCGCAAAACTTTTACCAGGGATATAGTTTTATTCCGTAGCACTTGTTCACGGCAATCCAAAATCTGTACCGGTTCCTCTACATAAGTTAAATCCTCCTTCAACTCTATCAGTTCCGCAACTAAAACATGAGATGGATCCGATATATACTTCCGAAGCATAGACACATGGAAAACATCATGTAATCTTGATAATTCTCCTGGTAATTCCAACCGATACGCCACTGCTCCTATCCGTTCCAGAATTTTGTACAGTCCAATGTACCTGGAACTTAATTTACCCTTCTTTCCAAACCTCATAATCCCCTTCCAACGAGAAATACGAAGAAAAACAAAATCATCAACTTCAAACTCCAAATCCCTTCTTTTTCGTACATCCACATAACTTTTCTGTCTATCCTATGCTACTTTCATACGCTGCAGAATTACCTTCACTTTTTCTGTTGTAAGTTCAATCAATTCTGGACCCAATAACTTTCTTTCACCTGCTTCACCCCAACACAATGGAGTTCTACATTTTCTCCCATATAATGCTTCATACGGTGCCATCCCAATAGTAGACTGATAACTATTGTTTTAAGCAAATTTAATTAACGGTAAATAATCATCCCAACTACCTTTGAAATCCAGCACACAGGCTCTCAACATATCTTCCAAAATCTGAATAGTTCGTTCTGACTGCCCGTCTGTCTGCGGGTGAAAAGCTGTACTGAACTTCAAAGAAGTTTTCATGGCTTCATGCAAACTATACCAAAATCTAGAAGTGAACTTCGAATCCCTATCACAAACAATAGAAACTGGAGCCCCATGCAAACATATGATCTTATCAACATACAAATGAGCATATTCCTTTGTAGAATAAGTAGTTTTCACTGTCAGAAAATGAGCTGATTTTGTCAATCTATCAACTATCACCTAAAATCATGTCCCCGTTTTTATCTTAAAAGTCCCGTCACAAAATCCATGGTTACATACTCCCATTTCCACTGTGGAATCGGTAACGGCTGCAATAACCCCGCTGGTTTCTGATGTTCAGCTTTCACTCGTTGACATACCAAACACTTTGCCACAAATTCTACAATTTCTCGCTTCATATTGTTCCACCAGTAGAATTCCTTCAAATCTCTGTACATTTTACTACTTCCCAGATGCATAGCATATATAGAATTGTGGGCTTCATCTAAAATATCTTTCTTTAAAGAAACATCATTTGGAACACAAATTCAACTTTTAAAATACAAAGTCCCCTCGTCTCCAATTGTAAATTTAGTTTGCATACCTTCTCGAGCTTCCTTTCTTTTCTTATCCAAGAATACATCATGACTTTGCAACTCTTTAATTCGATCAAGTAACAAAGGTCTCACCGTAACATGTGCAAAGAATGCTCCTTTATTAGTAACTGTTAATTCAACTCCCATCAATCTCAACTCCATAATATTTTCCACCCGTGCACACTGTACACAAGATAATCTCCCTGAAGACTTCCTACTCAAAGCATCTGCTACTACATTGGCTTTTCCAGGGTGATGGTGACTATTACAATCATAATCTTTGATTAACTCCATCCAATGTCTCTGTCTCAAATTTAAGTCCTTCTGTGTAAACAAATACTTCAAACTCTGATGATCAGTGAATATTTCACAAATTTTACCATATAGATAATGTCTTCACAATTTTAAAGCAAAAACAATAGCAACTAACTACAAATCATGTGTAAGATAATTCAATTCATGATTCTTTGATTGTCTAGAGGCATATGCAATTACCTTGCCATTTTGCATCAAAACACATCCCAGACCCTGATGTGAAGCATCAGTATAAATCACAAAACCTTCACCACCACACAAAATAGTTAACATTGGAGCTGACGTTAACTTTTTCTTCAATTCTTCAAAACTTTTTTGGCATTCCTCACTCCACACAAACTTTACTTCCTTTCGGGTCAACTTTGTTAATGGCAATGCACTACTAGAAAACCCTTGGATGAACCTCCGGTAATAACCTGCTAATCCCAGAAAACTTCTGATTTATGTTACATTAGTAGGCCTTTCCCATTTCACCATTACTTCCACCTTTGACGGGTCAACATAAATACCATCCCCAGATACCATATGCCCCAGAAATATAACTTTATCAATCCAAAACTCACATTTGCTGAATTTAGCAAAAAGTTATTTCTCCCGTAAAATCTGTAACACAATTCTCAAATGTTTTTCATGTTCATCCACACTCCGAGAATATATCAAAATATTATCGATGAAGACAATAACAAATGAGTCAACATACGGATGAAATACTCGATTCATTAAATCCATAAACACCGCTGGAGCATTAGTTAACCCAAAAGGCATTACCAAAAACTCATAATGGCCATATCGAGTTCGAAAAGCAGTTTTAGAAATATCACTATCCTTTATCTTCAACTGGTGGTATCCTGACCTCAAGTCAATTTTAGAGAACACCTTTGCCCCTTGCAACTGATCAAACAGATCATCAATTCATGGTAATGGATACTTGTTTATGATGGTTACCTTATTTAACTGTCTATAGTCAATACACAACCGCATAGTTCCATCCTTCTTCTTAACAAATAACACCGGTGCACCCCACGGTGAAATGCTAGATTGAATGAAGCCCTTATCCAGTAAATCTTGCAATTATACTTTCAACTCTTTCAATTCTGTTAGTGCCATTCGATACAGAGCAATAGAAATCGGAGCTGTTCCCGGTACCAACTCAATGGTAAAATCTACCTCTCTGTCCACTGGCAACCCCGGTAAGTCGTCTGGAAACACATCTGTGAATTCCTGTACCACTGGTACATTTTCAAATGTCACCTCTTTATTTTCAGTATCAACCACATAGCCAAGTAACCCTGACACCCTTTCTTCAACAACTTTCTGGTTTGTATAACTGAGATGAGACAGTTTGGAATAACCTTTTCTTTCTCCGGTAAATCTGAATTTTGGCTCTCTTGGTATCTGAAATATAACTTTTTTCCGAAAACAATCTATTGATGCATGATACGCAGATAGCCAATTCATACCCAAAATGATATCAAAGTCTGGTATACCCAACGGTATCAAATTCACCTTTAACTGTCTATCCCCCATTTGTAATACACAATCCCGATATTCATTTGCAACCACCACCACTTCCCCCATTGGTGTAGAAATAAACAATTTATTATCTAGTGGTGAAAGTGGTCTACCCAAATGTATAGCAATAGATGATGCAACAAATGAATGGGTTGAGCCAGGATTAATAAGCACAGTAACATTTCTATTCAAAATAGAAAGTGTACCTGTCACCACTTCTGGAGTTGCTTGAGCATCCTGAAGTGTCATAGCAAAAACTCTTCCTTGGGCTTGTGAACCACTTATAGCTCTCCCACCTCCTTTTAACGAGCTCCCATGTGGAAAACCTTTACCAGAACCAGCAACACTACCCACTGAGGTCACTCTTGTCAACATAGGACAATCTCTCTTCCGATCGCCCCGCTGATGGCAATGATAACACTCTTTTGCTTTCAACACAGGACATTCTTTCTTCTGGTGACCTTCCCTTCCACACAGAAAACACCCCCTGCCAGTACCACGTCCTCCAAAGCTACCTTGTTGTACAGATTGTTGTTCAGAAAGCTCTTGATCTCTTCCACTACCTGATGTCTGCCCCTGAGATTCACTACCCCTTCCCCTTCCATACTGCGACCTTTGACTTTTCTGACTTGAAATTCCTTCACCTCCTCTTGATTGTGATGGCTCAGATCTATTTCTTTTGTATTGTTCCCTTCTTTCTTGCAATTCTTTCACATCCCTTTCTGCAATCATGGCTTTATTCACAAGTCTGTTGTAATCTATTTCCTCAAACACCGAAACTCTGGACTTAATAGCCGCCTCTAAACCATCCTGGAATTTTGTACATTTATCTTCTTCATTCTGTACAAACTTGGGTGCAAACCTCGATAAAGCTGTAAACTTAACTTCATAATCAACTACAGATATTCTATCTTATTTTAGGAGAATAAACTCCCGTTCCTTCTTTTTTCTGTAAATTGGAGGAAAATATTTCTCATAAAAAGCTTTAACAAATGGATTCCATAATATCACCTCTTTCTCTCCTGGAATGAGCAATAAATGTTTTGTCGTGTCCCACCAATAACTAGCTTCATTTTTTAACATAAATGTAGCTAAGTTTACCTTCTGGTCTTCTGCTGCACCGATCACTGCAAATATCGATTCCATTCTTCTTACCCACCCCTCTGCTTCTTCTGGTTTGGTAGTACCCGAAAATTCTGGGGGTGTTAACTTGATAAACCTCTCATAATCTGAGTCTTTCTTTCCTTTCTGTTGTCTTTCCAGCCTTTCTTGTATCATCATTTGACTTGCCATAAATTGTTTATTTTGTTCTGCCAAGTCTGTTATCATCTTCTCCATTTTCTGCATACCAGTTAAGTACTCCTGTTCTCTTCTCATACCACTCTGAATAGGTTGTTCCACTTCAGCCTCAACAGGAATATAAGAGGCTTCTTCCTCGATTCTATGATAACCACTTCCTCCTTCCATTACTTTTATCTGCAATGAATCTCAAATATAACAACATATATATATGATACATAATCACCACATATATTTGTTAGAATAAAATCAAGTCAAAGAAATGACTTTACTACACACTTCCTACTGCCACTGCCAGTCTAGACTCTTACTACCTCCAGAACCTAGAAAACCTAGGCTCTAATACCAAAAGTTGACACACCCCAACCCAATTTACACTATTTAATAAATTGAACAAATTGGAATGCATCTAACCATCTGCATTAACCTCATTCAACATGACATTATCATACATCAGAGTACCTGCTTAACAATTTACAATTTAAACAAAATATAGGCCTGTTATGCAATTTTTGACAAACTAAATCGTTAACAACAAGTTACACCGTTAAATTCTACTACAATATTTACATCTTAAACAAAAGACATTTCATTGTTTCTTTCCCCATTCCCAATCAAGATTCTAGACCTGGTAGTAGCAACCCAACCTGATACCCGAAAAATGTCGATATGGAAGGAATGAGCTTAAAGCCCAGTGAATGCAACACTACTACATCAGAGTAATATAAACAAATATTATCCGATAACTTCAATTAAACTTTATTAATATATTACAGGCATTAAAGTATAGTACTCTCCTTCTAGGCCAAAGTATGGACCTTATTTAAATATAATACTCACTTTTTTGGCCAGAGTATGGACCTTATTTAATGTAGTACTCTCTTTCCAGACCAGAGTATGGACCTTATATAATATATTACTCTCCTTCCAGGCCAGAGTATGGACCTTATATAATATAATCAAATTATATATATTCATCTTTAATTCACATAAAAAGCTTCAATACCTCAATTTAATCACATCCAAGTATAAACTTCTAGTGAGTACACTCACCTTGGCAACTTTTCAGTTTATTTATTTGTCATGCAGTCCTGTTGATGTCATCTTTTCCATCTCCTTGCCTGAACAATATTATAATCATGTTATATTTATTTCTACATAAAATTAAATACTACGTATCCCCTCCAAAATAAATCTTAAATCCTCCATAATTGTAGTCACAATTTTCTAATCATAATAATTAGATTAAATCTCACCTAATGGACTTGAATCCCACTATAATTGTATTAATTCACGCAAGACCACAATTGGGGAAATTAATTAAAAGTAGAATAAATGAAATATTACTGAAATTTAAATAAATAACTTCCATTATAGAACCAAAAATACCAATTTTCTTACCTCACTGCTTCCGTACAACAACCCACCAGCCTTATTCTTTTCCTTTCTCCCTTTTCTCTCTTCCTTTCTCACTATTTTCCCCTCTTTATTCTCTTCGCTGGTCCGGCTTAGAATTCTCTAAGCCCACTATTTTATCTATTATATCTAGACTTTGTTGTTATCTACTGAAAATCGAGAAACAAGTGATGCATAGGATATAAGGCATTGTGTTATAAATTGTTTTCTAACTGTTTATCTCAATAATTTATTATATCTCACAACAAAATGGTAGACCATACTATTCCCATTCAGTGTACACCCCTACCACTCATATGGTAACACATCTACGAGCACGTGTCACTTTGCTGGTCACTTGTATTCATTTTTTCGTGACTCATGTATGTTGATTACTAACAGCTTCCAAATGAAGCTTGTAGAATTTAGTATATCTATACTTACATATCTGTAGGTGTAGGTTTGATGTGTATATAACTTATTCCAGTAGTTTCCAACTTGTTCCAGCAGTTTCGCATACGAAAATATATATTCTATACTTGGTCAAACAACAAAGCTTATGTGATAAGCTTAAAATAACTTTAATTTATATTTATAATTATATATATATTAAAGTTATTATATATATATATATATATATATATATATATATATATATATATATTTTCAAACCATCACACCACTTCATTATTCACTAACTTCAGCACAACGCTTGACCCTAGCATACAAACCCATTTCATTTCATGGTATTCCACCAACACAAATGTATCACTCCTTCCACTCCTATCAGTTGTATAATTAATATTATTTCCAATTGGACTATAATTAGTAAGCTTGATACAAAACGTAACATTCACAAAATAAATTATTCCATATATAAATCATGACAAACAAAAATTAAATTATGCTAATGAAATTAATTTTTGTTTTGTATCGGGGTATTACATCCAAGCTCTAGGCTTTTGCAATCAATAAATTTCAGTTGCAATTAGGTTTACTTTGTTATCTGTGATAACATATTCATGGGTTATTCAATTGCGATTGGGTTTATTGTAGAGTGTTCTGCTATGAAACGGCGCCAACGTTGTCGACGAAGACCTGACCCAATCCCCCACCTTCGCCCAAATGTTTACCGCCGAACTCAGTTCCTTCGCTGCCCTTAACCGCAGTTGTCCCACCCTTGTAACTTCCTTATTTTTTGACTTGACCTAAGAAACCTCCTCTGTAATTCCTTTAAATTTGATCGAACAGAGACAAAGTTGAAGACTCGAAGTGACAATCAAATTTACGCTTGGATCTCCACCTACCACGGCTGGGATGGTGTTGTTAATTAATGAAATTAGGGTTTGTGATTGAAGAGTTGGAAGAATAATTGAACTGCAAACTGATGTAAATTGCTCCTCCTCCTCCTCCTTCTCTCTCTCTATATATTTTTTTCCTCTTTGGCCTCCAACTCCGGCGACAACAGGTGGAAAATCATTCAACAAGGGTAAGGGCTAAACGGTTATTTCATTTTTGAGTTAATAGTTACTTGACGGTTGGTGAATGAGTGCAACAAAATGATAGTTTAGGGAGTTTTACTTACTTCAGGGGGGTTTCTTGCAATTGGGTCATAGTACAGGGGGGTTTAGTGCACTTAACCCATATAATAATGAAGCCATTTTATCAAAGGAAATTCTAGGAGTCCCGCTTTTGAGGAGAAAGTGCTGACCGCTTTGGGTACTCTAGAGGCAAACACTCAATTATTTCATTCACATTCTCAATCCATTGCTAAGCTAGAAACCCAAGTCGGGCAAATAACTAGTACTTTGAATGCTAGAGAGAAAGGAAAGATGCCTCTAAATGCCCCACCAAAGCAACAATTTGTTGTAGAAACCAATGAAGGTCACACAATTGAACATGTTAACGAGGTGACAACCTTGAGAAGTGGAAAAATTGTTGACTATCAAATTGGCGTTTCCAATGAAGAGAGTTAAACCGGTGTAACCAAAAGTTGACATCCGTCTCGTTTTACATTCTATCCATCCTTCATTGCATGTGTATAATCATCTTGTCGAGAAAGTGGTGAAAAATGATTTGAACAATGATTTGAAAACTTCTTGTGTTGAAAGTGATTCAAAAAAAGATTTTGAAAAAGCTTTTGAGCCAAAGGCTCCATTTCCGGATGCCTTGAAATGATCCATTTCTCTTAAAAAACAAAAATTTCCAGAAGTGATCTTGCTATGTCTCAAGGAAATGAGCTCTTTCCCAATCCATATTTGAAGGAATACTTGGTATCTTCCCCTTCTGAAAACACAAGATTTTTCTCAGGTATGGAAAATGAAGAAATGGGTTTACTTGTAGAAAGCAAAAGAAATGGCAGAGAAAGATTAGAAATAACGGTAAAAAAATGGAAAAAAAAAAATTATAGATAGAACCAAATGACAAGAAGTGGGTTTGCTGGTTTTACAGTATAGTCTACTACCAAGAGGTTAAGAAAATGAATAAATGGGTATGGAGTTATATACAAGTCCTGGTTCATGATATCCGCTACTATGTTTTATCAACGAGGGTATCCGTGAGAAAAAAATATTCACGGGATAAAAAGCTTCTGCCCTATTTCAATTGTAAGAAGGATTTATGTTTATTGTATTACACCTGCTTTGATGTATTTAGTGAGCTAGAGAGCTTGTTTGGTCTAGGCAGGGTTGCCTAGGACAGAGGGAGTATGTGTATACACTGTGTTGAGCTAATGTGTGAGTAGAGTGTGTGAAAACTAGTGTATACTTCTGTGACAAGGGTGTGTGCATAGAGTGAGATATCTGAGTGCGTAACAACTTACTTGTAACTAGTGGATGATTGAATTGGCATTGGCCAAGAACCAAGGTTTTCCCTAATTGAGAGGGTTTCCTTGTAAATTCTGTTGCATAGTTTATTGCTTAATTGTTTTGGTTGCTGTTAAGTTTATTTTGAAAGAAGGTTTTGACCAATTCACCCCCCCTTCTCTTGGTCTAACACTTCTATATTAGAATGAACTAATGTTTAGAGGTTAACAAGTTATTTATAGTATGAATAAAAGCATATTTGTGGAGGTATGAATGGGTTGTCAAAGCATAAATTTAATGCTATGTGATTTGTATAAATAAAATCACACAAATGAGGATACTGGAATTAGAATTAAAGGAACACATTCTTTGATTTGATAATTTATTATTTAATTATTAATTAACTGTTTAAAATGGAATTAAGGTGTAAATGAGTTTTTCTTATAAGGGAATGGTACTTGATGATTGGTTTTAGGTATGGATGTGACCTAATCACTATTCATAATTCTTAGAATGCAAGGAATGTATTAAATGAACTTGACCTTTATATTTATATATATATGTATCATCTTATGTTAAAGGTTAAAAATTTAATCAGGATGGTTTTGGTTAGACATGTTTTATTTATCGGTTTTCAGAGGCTTAGTAGAGGGAACTTGCTCGTGGGTCTAACCTACACTTTATTTTTCAGGTTATTAGAAGTTTCAGTCTCAAGGTTGAGGATCCGCAACTTGAAGACTTGTCTTTCATCTACTCATCTTATATTCTTCTAAGTAGTGTTGGCATTTATTATTACAAGTTAGTTTAATTATGTATGAACTGACATATTAGTAGTTTGTGGTTTAGGGGTCCTTAACTTACAGGATTCTCGAGTTGTATTTTAGAGATTTATGTTTATGGATTTTATTTTGTAAGGAATGATTTATTTAATCAGTAGATTTTTTCCCAACAAATTAATTATTTGTTTATTCTTTTATTCATTTTGTATTATGTGTTCGTTTATTGCCAAATTATTTTTGATATCCTCAGGTTTTCAAGTGTGGCCTTGCCAACCTACATGTGGAAATTCGGAAGGGGGGGGGGGGGGTATCACATGAATTGAAGTGGTTTATGTAACTTGTATGAGAAAATGTGATTAGCAAAGTATAGAATATTAGGTGGTAAAAACTCCCTATATAAAGGAGTGTAGTGTATTTCATAATAGATACAACGGAAGTGAATAAGAGTTCTTTCTTCCCTCTCTATCTATTGTTTTCTCTTGCATTTTGTTCTTGTATCAAGTGCGTTGCAACTTCCAAATATTGCTATATATTTTCTCTTAGATTCACAAAAGTTTTATTGTGTATTATTCTCTGTATATAAAGAGGTATATGAATATATATATATATATCTCTCTTAGATTAGATACAATTTATATATATTTGGAACTAAATAGTGTTGCAATAGAATATGTTAAGAGATAACTTGCCTCTTAGGAGTCCATGCAGTATAATAGAAATTGTTAGAGAACTTGCCTCTTTAAAATTCAATAGAAAAAAAAGAAGTTATTTTACATGATTCAGTTGTTGGGTAAAATAGGAAGGTCAAATAAAAAAGCTCTCTCTTTTCACAAGAAAATATATTTTCGCGTGTTTTGTGCTATAATAATTTTAAAGAAAAATAGACAGTACAGAAAACTATATTTTCCATTACGTTTCTTTTCCATCTATCCAAACTCTAAAAAAAATTAAAAATTTCTCTTTCCTTTCTTTTCTAGTTGATTTCATCTAACCAAACGAAGCCTAAAGAATCCGTCAAAATGGAATTCCATTTCCAACGTTGTAGAAAAGAAAAAGAAGACAAATTAAAAAAAATAAAAAATAAATAAAAAAGAGAGTCATGGAGCTCTATATGAATGAGCTTGGAAATTGGTCTGAAACTACTTCAGCAACATCTGGTTCAGTCCCAACCAATCTATCTACTCCATCAACATCCGAAGTATCATGCAATTAGTGCTAAAGGTTAGCATGACAGTTTACCGGTCAAAGTGAATTGATGAATGGCCTGGGAATTGAAGCCCAAAAATGAAAAATGAAAGCTAAAATAGATATAGGTTTGGAGCAAGAACGTACAAAAATAATGGAGATTGAGGCGCATAAAGAATTGAAACTTAGGGAAGTTCAGGCATAATAACAAATGAAAAAGATGGAGATTTAACAAAAACAGATTGATTGTAAAAGAGAAATGATGATTAAAAATCCTAACGATGCTTCAACAGAAGCAGTAAAAGCATGGATCATTGGTAAAAAAAAAAATATGAAATTTATTTGCATTTCAATCAAGGGCAATAATATGTAATGTCTAACATTTTCTTTATTTGTAAAAAAGTATTAATGTAATTTTTTCTCTATTTGTGGGAATTTATGTAATGTACTTTTTCTTTATATGTAATGGATATTTTTTAAAATTTCACAACAAATATAATCAAGGAAAATACTTTTCAAAATATATTTTATTCATCACTAATATGAAAATTACATTTGATTCGCTAACATCAAATTTATACATCTTCATTACAAAATTGATTCCACAAATGTTCCATGAGATCTCTCCCGATATCAACATTATAAGTTATATTGCGAATCTGCTTAAGCAAGAGAAAATGTGTGCTGCAAAGATTGAAAGGTTTCAAATGTAATGAGGAAAAGAGACTGGCTCCTCTGTTAGAGGTGTCTATTGCAAAATGTGTTCGCGTTCGTCTTCTATGATTATGTTATGTAATATGATGCATATTCTCATTATCTTGTTCAGGTCTTCTTTATTCTAATAACGCATTGGTCCTTGCATTATATCCCACTTCATCTACAACACGCCAAACACTCATTCATCATCCTTCTTAATGGCTTTTTGTTTGTTAGCAAATGGTTTCTCTTTGATAGTTGTTGGGTGCTGAATGGTCTCATCAAAGTTGTCCACTTAATATATATACTATCAGATAAGTAATACTCCATTGTACGTCGGTGCCCATTCTTAAATATTGGAGAATGATCGAGGACATTCAAGTCCTTGTGTAAACCAGCCATACCAAAGAAAGCATGCCAGATCCACAGATCTTCCGATATAATGGCCTGCAAACTTCTTCTATGTGTTTGTCATGCCATGTCGTGGGGTAGTTCTTCCATTCCCAATGCATACAATCTATAGAGCCAAGTCTACTTGGGAATCCTATTTCCTCCCCTTATTGAAGTGGACGTGCAATGTTGTTTGCTTTTGGTGAGCGTTTGCACTCCACATACACAAAAATTATAGCATCACAAAATCTCTTCAAGCTTTTAATTGCATTACGCTCAGAAACCTTTATATACTCATCACAAAGATCCGCTGAAATTCCATAGACGGATACATGTTTCATATCTGTTATCTTCTGTAAAGGAGTACACCTCATGCGACCGAGAGTATCGGGTTTCTAAATGAACCTTTCGTCATGTGTTGTAACACTGTTTGTAATGCGAACAAACAACTCTCGTTGCATTCGAAACTGTTTACGAAAGATCTCTAATGGATAAATCGGGTTTTCAGCAAAGTAATCTCAGAATAACCGCTGCGCTGCCTCTTTTTGATCATGCTTAATATATTTTCTCCTATGATGTTAAAAGAATGTATGTACCCTATCAAGCAATAACAACTTCCTCGCAACGTTCATCCATTTTCGATGAATTTTAAAGGTATTTTCTTCCTCTGAATCTAACGAATTTAGTGGAGAAATGTACTGGAAACTGTTATAGATTGTGACGATGAATTTATTGTTTTTCTATAATAAAGATGAAGACTCAAAGAAGGGAAAATGAACTTGAGGATGCAAATAAGTGGATTTGAGGATTGAAAGAAGATATAATGAGTGGATTATATAGAAATTAAAATATAGTTGTTTGAGAAAAGACAAACAAATAATTTTAAAAAAAAAAAATTTTAAAAATAATAAAGTAAATAGAGAGATAGTAGACTGCATACAAATGTGTATGATGAGTTTAAAAAGTGGATAACCAAAGCACATTTTAATAAAAAAATGCACACCAGATCAGACGTTATAAAGAAAACAAACGAAGTAATAAAAAATAATACTAATAATACTAATAATAATAATAATAATAATAATAAAGCGACCCCCAAAACGCTGCCGTGTCCGAATACAACATGTAACCGCAGTACCCAGTTACAGGCTTACAGCAGATTTCTACGATATTATTGTGTGTTTCTTTTTTTGGGTGAATTTATCAAAATGGATGACTATTAACCGCTGCACTAAAGTTCCAAACAGAGGGCCCTTGATGCCCTCCTCTCATATTTGCAAAATCTTACCACCTCTCCAAAGTCTCTAGACACACACAAAAACACACAGAGTCACACCGATACGGGGGCCATGGAGAGGCTTATCTACTCTAACCCTATCACCTGCAAAATTCATCTAAAAGCGTGTCCCTTTCTCAATCGTCTCGGTCCATTTGACGCTGCCAAACTCGGAGTTTCATCACTAACGCGAACCGAGTCCCGGCGAGTCAACTCGCTGTTCTGCAAACACGAGGACGGGTCTTCCCTTAAGTACTCGATCAGAACATCGTGTTTCAACTCTTCCCTGGTGGACTCACCAGATGGGTCAATTCCCGAACCCCATTTTGTCAAACCGATTTCTGAAGGAGCTTCCAAGCACCAAAAGGTATGAATTTACCTTCAAAATTATATACATACGTTCATAGAATTGCTGTAAATTAGTGGAAAATCAAAACCCTGTTAATTTTTGTTGTAGTGGATTTTTTTTTTTTGGCTTAATTTTATTGCATTTGTGTTTTATGTTATCTGCTCTAATTGGTGGGTCTAAGAAAAAAAAAAATTGAATTTTTTTATTTTTATTTTTTTTTAATAATGAAAAAAAAAAATTGAATTTTGCTGTGTTAGCCAAATGAATAAACGATTCCTTTTTTTCCCGTTGGCTAGAATATATTTTGGTTCCATTAGCAAGTGTGGAGCTTATATTTGTTGTTGCTTTAGAAGATTTAGTAATTTATTTAGTTTTTATTTTTATTTTTTGTAATCATTATTTTTTAAGTGAAACTCTAGGTGGGTTTTATACTTCAATTAAAGAATATATCATGAGTAAACAGGTGTGCCCGAGTTCTTATTCTGCAAATGGGTATCTGCTTTTTTTTTGGGTGATTGAGATGGAAGATTTTTGGTTTCTCTATATGTTTTTAGATTTCACACTAGACTGTTTATTTTAGCAGAGCATGACATTCAAGTAAGGACTTAACTAAACTCAAGAAAGTGTTAAAAAAAACCATTTGTTGTTGGATATATGAATCTTGTTTTGCCATTTAGCTCTTAAAGTCATAATTTAAGTTAAATTACACAATAGCATACATTTATCTACCATCTAAATCCATGTAATTTTGATCTTTCTTTTCCCTAACATTAGCTCAAACGTGAACCACCCCAAAACATCCTTAATTGGGATTTATTTTGTCTTCATTGCACATAGCCAATATTTTAGTTCTCTCATCCTATCTCCAATATGTGCTACTTCACCGTTCCATGAACGTAAGCTTCTTTAATTATATCATTTTTTATCTAACCACACATCTATATTAACATTGGCATTTCGATCATATTAGTTCTCTGAGCATGTTTTTACATCTCCCCATAAATTATGTTTGGTCTAATAATCTTGGTATAAAATTTACATTTTGATTTTAGAAGTATGCAATAATCACACAATATGCTAGAAGCATTTTATTTAATACACACCATTTTAGTTCTTATAAACAACATCATTTCTAAAGGCGAAGCTAGAAATTTGTGACAACCTTTGTGGGCGGGTGCGAGACACTTGACGAGCTACCACACGGGCAGGCTACAAGGTGTCATGATCCCACATCGCCTGAGAAAGGTGAAGTGCTATATGTAGGTTCAACACGCTTTTATGACACAACGCATTTTAAAGTCGCGATGGTCATGAACCCATCAGAACTCTAAAGTTAAACGTACTTACTCTGGAGTAGTACTAGGATGGGTGACCTCCTAGGAAGTCTCTGATCCCGGGGAACAAAAAAGGGACAATATTGTGTTTGGGTAGGAGGTAGGGTGAGGGTTGTTACAAATGGTATCAGAGCTGGAGTCCAACTGGAAGTGTGGCCAACGAGGACGTTGGGCCCCACGGTGGTTGATTGTGACGACCTCTGTGGGTGGGTGGGTGTGATGCCGGCGGGTGCTTTGCTTACTCTGGAGTAGTACTAGGATGGGTGACCTGCTGGGAAGTTTCTGATTCGGGGGAGCAAAAGAGAACAATATTGTGTCTGGGTAGGGTAAGGGCTGTTACAAATAATTTACTCTAGATGGGGTGACCTAGAAGAATAATAAATAAAAATAAAAAATATTGAACCAAAACAACCAATATAAAAATTGATAATAATTCTATCATTACATTTATAATTGTCCAATTTCATGTTTTGACTTATCAAAAAAAAAATGTCCAATTTCATGTTTTGAAAGCACTGTATGATAACCTCATTATGAATTCATTAAACATATTTGTCAGTCACTCAATCATTAAGTGTGAAGAATAGGCTATTCACTTTTTTTTTTCAATTGAAATATATAATAATAATAATAATAATAATAATATAAAAGGTGAATAAAGGGAATTGGTTTTTGTACATATCAGCTAGGGGTTGAGAAACCATATGAAGAAAATAACTTATATAATTCTTCCACTTTGTGCTTTTGCCTTGGAGAGAGATTGAGAAAGTAAAAGAGAGTTTGGCTATTAAAATAGTTGAGATGAACTTGTTGTGGGTCATGAGAGAGAGAGGCATAGAGAATATTGGAAGGAAAAAAGAGAATTGAGAAAAAGAGAGGACTGGGAACCTTAAGAGTCTTTTTATAATTTTGAAGGGGCGCTGGGGGCTTTAAGCAATGTATCCACCCATTTTCTCCATTTGAGGCTTGAAACCTTGACCTACCTTTTTATGGAGATGGAGTCTGATGCTAGATTGCTTTGAATCAACATTTCATACGATTGAGGCCGAGGGACTGACGGTGAGTTTACAATTTTTGTAAAATTATATACACATGAAATTGGAATGAAAAGAGTTGATTGGGGGCCATAGCCCCCACTGCAATACATGTGCCTCCTCCACTGATCACCTCTAACCACTGCCTTTCCAAGAGTAATTGAGCTTAAATAAACTAACTTTTTATATTAGAATCCAATGACTGATCTTCACACTATTTCCACACATAATTTTAGTCTTGTTGAAGTTCCATGTATTCAATTTTAATCCATTGTATCATGCTCTTTTGATTCTAGAACTTTTTTGTAAACATAAAATTTAGTACTTATCCCTAACTTCATCAATCACATGACAACATCACTAGCAAATAGCATATGCTATAAAGATCACATCCCAAATGGGTTCTGTTAGGTCATTCATAATTAAGTTTAAAGCCAGAGACTTATTACTAATCCCTGATGTAAACCCTATGATAACTGAAAATCCACTTGTTCTTAATATGGTCACAATTATTTCGAAACAGCCAGAGTTATTTGTATGATGTGTTTGCTTTTTTGATGTATACTGAATTTTACTGTGATCGAGTTTATTGTCATCGAATACTTGTCTTGAAGAAATTTTTGTTATTTCAAATCTGGTATTAGTTCCTGAGAGATATGGCCTAGTGATATTTCCTCTACCTCCCAAAGTGGAAGGTGAGAGTTCAAGTTCTCATAGGGGCAAATGGGTGCTTGACCTTTCTTGCAATCTTGCCAATTGAGAAATATATATATATACACATAAAAATCTGGTAGTAGTTCCTGAAGTTGAAATTTTACTTTAGAAAGCTATTCTATGTAATTTAGAATATATTCCAAGGTCTAAGGCACCAACCAACTTTAAGCAGGAGGAATCTAGATCTTGTTGGTATCTAAACTCGTAGCACAAGTTTTGCTTGATTGTAAACAGTTTCTAGGATGCTGTACAAAAACTGAAGGGAAGGGATTCAACTGTTGTGGACATACAAGTATTTGTGATGTTATCCTAAAAATACAACATTGAGGGGCTATAGTAGGATTTAGGCGGTGCAATTATTGAGATTTAATAATTTGGAGTGTCATTGAATGTTTTGTGGAAAATAAAATATTTGTTGGGATTTACATTTCAGTTGAAGGCATATGTTGATAGTATCTATATTGTTACCTAGACTTGGGTACTTGTATTGGGTACCAATATATGTCTAAATGGTAGACCTTCCTAAATCCCAAATCTTAGGATATTTGTACTCAGGATGAAAAGCATCTAAAAGTTGGATGCGGGTACGTGAATGCATATTCCACAAAACCATAATTTGTTACATAGAAGAATAACGTACGAGGCTACTGTTTTTTAATAAATGCAGTCAATAACAATAAAAATTAAATGAAATATGGTGGGAAAAGAAAAAAGAGATATCATCCATCTCAAAAGTAGGTAACCCTTCTTCGCTATCACATTTGAGCTTTTCTTCTTCTTCCATCATCAAGATTAGAGGATCCAGGCAGTGTTGTTAAAGGCATGCCTAGGCACGCTTAGGCTAAGGTTTAGTGCCTGTTGTCATCCCAGGCTCACTGATGTTTACTAGGCGCGTGCCTCGGTTGCGCCGCGCCCTATTTGTGGGTGCGCCTCACTGATATTTGTTTAAAAAAATACGATTGTTTTATTTCTTAAGCCAAAAAGGGTACTTTTGGCAACTTAATAAATAAAAAGAAAGCCCAAGCATAGGATAGAAGGAACTTTTGTTCAAAAGAATAAATGAATAAGAAAGCCCAAAAGTCAAAGTGTTAACCGAAGAGCGATAGAATGAGATTGTGAGACGAAGCCCTAGTGAATGAAGCCATGTCAGTTCTTTTTTTTTTTTTTTTTTTTTTCCCCTCTTCTCCTCTCTTCTTATCTTTGTTTACATCTCTCTCTTCGTCTAGTTCTCTTCTCTCTCAGTTTTGTTTTTTTTTTTTTTTTTGTTAACAGGTTTATTTCTTTTTGTGCTTTGTTTTGCCATTCAAAAAAACACATTTTGCTTTGCCTTCCAAGAAAACAAATTTGTACTCTATTTTATGGTTGTTTGATGCTTATATAGTTGATGGATTTACTTTTTTATATTTGATATTAATTTTTAGAATATTGATATGACTTATGGGATATGAATGTTTTTATGGTAGTTTAAATTTTCAATTGTGCGTCTCACTTCACTCAGGCGCGTGCCTTGCCGTGCGCCTCGCGCCTAGTCTCCAAAGGACTTCTAGTGCCTTGGTGTGCCTTGGGCCTTTAATAACACTGGATCCAGGTATCCGATTTGGGTATGCATGTCAGACATGTATTCCTGACCTATACCCATGTTGTATTGCGTCAACATGGGTACGTTTAGGGGAATAGGAGAGCCCATGTAATGTAGGATGATATAATATGTTGACATTAGGCACTGAAACAGAATTGGTGCAAATGTTGAACACTTGAGTAGCTTTATTTTAAGTAATTATTAGGAAAAGAAAGTATATTCACATTAATCCTGCCACAATATAGTTTCTAAATTTATATAGTGCACGCTCTAGATAGAGTGTTTGTGATTCCAAACACCACATCAATTTACTGCTCTATTTCCTGTTTATTCATCTACAATTATATGTCTACAGCAGAAAATTATGTCACAGCGCCTCTTGTTGAAGCATTAGATTTTTTTTTTTTTTTTTAATATTAAATTTTTGAAAGGAAGCTGATTGTTACTGTTGCTTGTAAATGTTTTGGTTTTAATATATTTGAATGCTGAAGCCCTATAAAATAGTAGCAGCCCCCTTTCACTGAGACTATCAGCCTGTGACTTTTCAAGATACAACTTATATAATTTCTTCTTATTGATAATAGAAAATTTGAGGTACCATATAAATGATCCCTTGGAGGGCAGAACGTTAACAATCACCTTAACTTTGATATATGGTCCCTAGGCAGTGGGATTTCATGTAGTAAGCTCTTTAGAATGTCCCGCAAAGTTTCACACACACACACACACACAGAGAGAGAGAGAGAGAGAGAGAGAGAGAGAGTTTAGCTGCTTTTTTTCACTATTAGCCTCCTTTATCTTACAAAGGTATTACATTGTGAGCATGGTTATCTAATTTTTTAATTACTAAGCAAAAGCTTCATGTTGGCTACTGCTGTTAGCCTTTATGCCAATTAGATACATGAATTTACTCAGAGCTATGAACCCTCCAAACTAAGTACATAGTTGTCACCATTCAGTTCATGGGTGTATAACATAATTAGTGCTTGACCAAATCAAGTTAGAAGCCATCAGTGGCCTCTCAATGCTTAAAGTTGTTGGAGATTTGGGCAATCTTTGTTTGTGATTTGGGAATCCATTGTTGTACTCTAAAGTAGGGATGTCAATTTAACCCACCCCTATTGGGATGGGTTCGAGATCATCCTAATAGGGTTAGCGGTGGGCAATGTTGTTAAAGGCGCGCCTAGGCTCGAGGCGCTGGTCTAGCGCCTATTGTCATCCTAGGTGCATTGATGTTTACTAGGCGCGTGCCTTGGTTGGGCACTTTTTTTTTTTTTGGCTCGAGGCGCAGGTCTAGCGCCTATTGTCATCCTAGGTGCATTGATGTTTACTAGGCGCGTGCCTTAGTTGGGCACTTTTTTTTTTTTTTTTTTTTAAATGATTATTCTATTTCTTAAGCCAAAAAGGGTAGTTTTGGCAACTTAATTACCAAATAAGAAAGCCTAAGCGTATGAGAGAAGGAACTTTCGTTTAAAAGAATAAACAAATAAGAAAGCCCAAGAGTCAAAGTGTCAACCGCGAACATAGAAAGAGTGATACTGTGAGACCAACAACGAAGCCATAGTTGCAGAGACGAACGACGAAGCCATGTCAATTCTTTCTTCTTCTCTCTCTTCCCCTCTCTTCTCATCTTTATTTACTTCTCTCTCTTCGTCTAGTTCTCTTTTCTGTGTCCGTTTTTTTTTTTTTTGGGCTCTGTATTTCCTCCTTTTTCTTCTTTAACACTCTCTCTCTCTTCATCTACTTCTTTTGTCTCTGCATTTTTTTTTTTTTTTTTTCTCTTGTTAACAATTTTATTATTTATTTATTTATTTATTTTATTTTTTATTTTTCTGTTACTAGATTTATTTCTTTTTGTGCTCTGTTTTGCCTTGAAAATAAAGCTAAAAATAAAAAATCTGTTTTTCCTTTCAAGAAAACATATTTGTGCTCTATTTTATGGTTCTCAAATGCTTATATGGTTGATGAATTTACTTTTTTAAATTTGTTATTAATTTTTAGAATATTGATACGACTTATGAGATATGAATGCTTTTATGGTAGTTTAAAATTTCAGTCACTTCACTCAAGTACGCGCCTAGGCTCCAAAGGACCTCTAGCGTCTTGGTGCACCTTGAGCCTTTAATAACACTGGTGGCGGGTTTGGGAAGAGAGTTTAAAACCCGCAAAGCCCCCGAACCCTCCCCGATTAATCATTAATATATAAATAAATATTCTTTTATTAGCTATAATTTTTTTTTTTTTTTTACTATACTAAAAAATTTTTATCTTGAACTTGTTCAAGTTTGAATTGTTTTTCTTAAAAAATATGTATATCAGGGAGCCCTGAACCTGTCCCTACTCTGATGTGGGGTGCCTCGAATGCAGTTTGGAAAATGATTTTCATTGGTGGGACGGGTTTGGGAAAGTGGTGCCCCGTCCCGAACCCGCCCTGTTGACATCCTTACTCTAAAGGCATCAAATGGTAAGGTATAGATGATGGAAGGTGAGTCTATCTTTAAGTATGATTTTTCAACCAAAACTTCGTTATTTGGATGATGTGGTACCATTAGGATAAACTTTGGGTGTATTTGTGCACTAAGGAGGCTGAAGATCTTTTAGCCTTTGTTTTTAGGGTTTAAATAATTATTTGGGAACTCATCAATTAGGTTGTTGATTACAAGTAATGCTCTCCCTCTCTCTCTCTGTCTCTCTCTGGTGCTTTACATTCTTTTGGTTTACATAAATATATTTACCACTTTTGATTTTCAGAAGACTTAAACATGCAGCAGTTTGCTTAACTATAGGGCCTGTAAAATAAACCAAGCTACTCAACATCAACTTGTGGTTGGCTCGTTGTTGGTGGCTTGCTTACGATTGGTTTAATAGATAAATGATCCAAACTTGACAACTTTTGAATCTCATTAATTAATTAATTTATTTATTTTTTTGTAGCCATAATGGATCTTGTCACATTATTAAGATGAAATTTAATTGGTCTTATTTATTGTATAAGTTTTGGTGGATGGTGGTTGTTTTAGCTCTCTTTAGGACAGATTGCAATACATGCATTGCACTCATCTTTAGAAGACAATGCTGTTTCAAAAATCAAAACCAGATGATAATTCTGAAATAGTTGTAAAGCTATGCGAGGAAGAATTATTGAATAAAATGATGACAAAAGGAAGTATATTACTCTCTGATTTGTTCGTCTAGTACTTCCCCCTTCCCCAACCCCCCCCCCCCCCCCCCCCCCCCACATTTTGGTGGCAAGTTCTGATCAGTAATGAATTATTAACTTCAAACTGAAAGGAGTTAGATAATCAGCCCAAATTTTTAATATTTCTTGTTATATTTCTATTTTTTGTGATTTTTTATTTTGACGACACCACTACCAAAAATAAAAAATATATATAATAAAAATATGAAAAAAGGATAGAATTTTGACAGTGTCTCATTTTAAATACGACCAATCAAGGGTTCAGGTATCAATATGACTTCTTTAAGTTGCCCTTACTTCTAATTAGTGCATCCCTTTCCTTTTCCAGGATTTTCAACCATTTTCAGTTTTAGTAGGTCGTGCAACTCAAAGTTTCAAATTCTGGCATCATATTTGAAATTGGTAAAGCAAATTCTGCAATTACTGAAACATGCCTACAATGAAAGCCTGCAATAAGAAAATCACCCTCCCATGGAAACAATATTATAATTTCTGTGCTATATCTAGCAACAGGCATGATACTTCTGATCTATCCATCGTAAACTTTCTTCAAGAATTTGCAAGGGATGTCACTGCCAACCTATCAGCAGTTTCACTTTCTAGTCTCCAGTTATTGTTGTTATTTTGACAAAGCTGACAAAGTTACTCCATATTTGGACAATATTTCAGGCATTATCTGCGGGGACCGTTATACTTCTCTCAGCTCTTGCAGTGATATTAATCCACCCAATCATTGCATCACCAGCTTTTGCAGCCTTTCAAATTGCATCTAAAACTGGGGGAGGAGTTTTACAGAATGAATTACTTACCAGTGCCTGGACTGGTTTCTTTGCTGGTTGCTTACATACACTATCAGGGCCTGACCACCTTGCAGCTTTGGCACCACTCTCCATTGGACGCACCAGATTGGAAAGTGCTGCCGTTGGAGCCCTCTGGGGCTGTGGCCATGATGCCGGCCAGGTAATTTTCGGCTTGCTATTTCTATTGCTCAAGGATCGGCTCCACATTGAAGTTATCCGAACTTGGGGCACAAGAGTTGTGGGCTTTACTCTTCTTGTTATCGGAGCAATGGGAATCAAGGAGGCCACAGAAGTCCCTACTCCATGCGTTGCCCTGGAAAACGGTGAATGTGATGTCAGTGGTTATGAAAACCTTGAAAACCCAAAAGTCGTGAAGAAAAAAATCGGGTTTGCAACTTTTGCGACAGGGATTGTCCACGGGCTGCAACCTGACGCATTGATGATGGTCTTGCCTGCACTTGCTTTGCCTTCTCGATTAGCTGGCGCTGCATTTCTAGGTATGTTCTTGGTTGGCACTGTAATTGCGATGGGCAGTTATACTGTATTTATTGGCTCATGTAGTCAGGCATTAAAAGATAGGGTCCCTAGAATAACAGAGAAGCTCACTTGGGCTTCTTCCCTTGTTGCAATTGCTCTTGGATTTGCCATTCTCATCAGCCAGTTTTTCGGGTTTAGTCTATACTGATTGCATGGCATTTCTCAAGTCGTAGTGTTCGGAATAGATTTGAAAGGGATTAATCAATTCAGTGGCAGCAACTTTATTCTCGGGGCATATTGACCCCACAAGAATCATCATCCTTTTTCTGGTTTGTGGTTGTAGTTTTATCCATAGGAGACATTTTTGCATTGTAATTTTTAGTTGTGGTTAAAAGTAGAATGATTTAACAATTTTTCTAATATTCATTTGATTTGTGTTGCAGCTCAATTTGAATTTCTCGATTCAAATTTCCATACAATTTTCCAGTAAATTACTCATAAAGAAGCAGAATAGGCTGATACGGAAAAAAAAAAAAATTTGGTTAAAATATTTAATTCAACCAATCCATTAAAATTATTATCAAAATCAATCCACCATGCATCAACAAATTTCAATCTTACGAAATTAGGTGAATTTACATATACTTGAAATTAGGTCACATTCTTATAGTAGATTTCGTGTGAGTCTGCAACAAAATGAAAATGGTTCTTCCTCTCGGGGAAAATTTCATTCTTCCTCTAGGAGAAAATTTGTTCTTCGTTCCGGTGAGTGTGTGCATGCATGTCACTAATCTCATGTTTAGTTTACTTAGTTTACTCTAATATCACAATTACTTAGATAGTAAGCTAAAAATTTGGTGTTTATTAAGTTGAACCCACTTATGCTTTTAACAAGTACCAACTAATTATTAAATATTCAATATTCATGGAGTTTTAGGGTCATGCATTCAACTAATGTGATATTTACTAGCAACAAAAGCATGCAATCATGCAATTCACCCCAAAAGAACATAATGCCTTTTTCAATAAATAAAAATTTAGTCTTTCGAAAGAAAAAAAAAAAATACAGAATTTTTGTAAGAACACCTAATAATCAATTAAAAAAATATAGGTAATTTTGTAGAAAGCGACTGATTCTGATTTGAACTTCACTTTCAAGTAGGGCAATCAAGTATAATTAAATTAGAGTATAGATTGAATAATATTTTAATTAATGGGTGAAATATAAAGAAATTATTAATTGATTAATATAATGGTTTCGAAACACAAATGCACAATTGTGACATTACTCCCAAAAAAAAATTCACCAAAACAGGTATAAAAAAACAGAACTGAAGGTGCAATGTGGATAGGTCGAAACAGGTACAGTCGACCCTATGTGGGAGCCGCATCGTGGATAGCTTAATAGGTTAATATTAACCAAAACAGAGCTTAATTTGATATTTGAACAGACTTTAAACAATATGATTTTTAATTTGATTTCATTTATGTTATCTTCGGTTGCATGGAATTAGGGTGCTGAAATTAGAATAATTTTTTTTTATTCCAATTTCAAAGCACTAATTTCATGCAACTTAACATAGTGTTAGTGTTTGAATGAAAGTGCTGAACACCTAATTCTGGACTCTAAACTTGATTTCTTATTCTGGACTCTAAACTTGATTTCTTTATGTTATATTTGATTGCATGGAATTAAAATCTTAGAATTGGGGAGTAATTTTTTTAAAAAAATTCAATTTCAAAGTACCAATCCAACGCAGCTCAACTTGTCTTAGAACCATACCCCAACACCTAAATCCCAACTTTAATATTGTCAGTGGTAATATTATATTAGTATATTGCACTTACTGTGAACTTAACCTAATTTGATTAAATTTTTGTTTTAACGCCACCTAATTTGATTAACGAAAACTTACCATGAGCATAGAAAGATGGACAAATTGTCTTTCTTAACTTGGGTTAGAATAAATTAAGAATTATAGTGCCGAAAAATCTCCCTCACCTGTCAAAGTAAATGTGTGTGTATATATATATTGTGAAAAAATATGGACACAGTACCAGTGAGGAGCCAGAGTCCTGATCTCTTACTCTTCATGGAGCAAGAAAATTAATCCACACTTTCTTTATAGACCATCTAACGATCATTTTTCAAACCCACCTATGGCCTTTCCTTTAAACACAAAACCACTCTTACCCTATTTTTAGTTTTTATATTTAATTTTGTCATTACCACCTACCGTAACAATAAAAGGTAATTATCAAAATAAAAATAGAAACCTTAGAAAAAAAAATAATAATATTATATTTTATTAATAAATTTGTTTTTATTTAGATGTTTCTTTGAAAGAAAAATAATATCCATATCTTTCAATTTTGCAACAACAGTATGATATTATAGTATTTTTTTAAGAAACATCGTGTTATTCTTAGTATAAGTAAATTAATATATTTCTCTAGTATAAGTAAATTTATCAACAAATATACTGTATTGTTGCATTTTGGAATATTGAATTGATTCATTAAAATTGAAGAAAATTTCATTTAAAGTTTGAACAAAAGTTCTTTCTATTTCAATTTGAAATTAGGCATTTGGTGAAATTCATTATTGAATCTGTGAATTTGTGAGTTTGATTATTGGATGATGATAATATACTGACTATAGTGGGACTGTAGAATCCACTTCAAAAATAACGAGGTAACCCAAAAAAAATGGGTGAAACCCTTCTTACAACTTAATCTATGGAGAGTAATCATTTGTATATACTTTTGTCCATGGATTCAAATTCAGTCACGCACGGAGAAATGTAGATAGAGTTGAATCGAGCCATCAATTTATCCCAACCACCGGATATAAACTCCCACTCAAAGGTTTCTATTTTTATTTTGATAATTACCTTTTATTATTATAGTAGATAGTAATGGTAAAATTAACTAAAAATAGAATTAGAGTGATTTTGTGTTAAAAGAAAAGGTCGGGTTTGAAAAATGGCAATCTAACAGTTTATATATAGATCAGGACTCATAAAGTATATATACATAAAAAGAAATGGGTAGATATATATAGAGATTAATATTTTTGAAATAAGGTAAATTAATAAATTACATATATAGAATAGGGTTAAATGCAAGAAACCCCCCTGAACTATTGTGGTATTGCAAGAAACCCCCCCTGAACTAAAAAAACCCTCATGAACTATTGTTTTATTGCAGTTTACCCCAGCAGTTGACCGGAAAAACCAAAAGACCATTTAACCCTTGCTATAAAACTACGTAGTTTCAATCCTTAACCTCTTAAACCTCATGGACCTATGAGAGCTTGACACGTCACCCCCAAAACCAAACACAGACCCACACTGCCTACAACCATACATACACATTGAAATATAGATATATATATAATCACATGATATATATACAAGGTATATATTCGAAATTTGGGGGAAAATGGAGGTGATGGTGCTATTGTGGCTGTGGCGACGAGGATTGAAGTTGGAGGAGGAGATGGATCTAGTGGTGGTGGTGGTGTAGTGGCAACTTTGGGGATTGAGGTTGGGGGAGGAGATGGATCGCCATGGATAGGAGGTAGTGGTGATGTTGTGGCGGCGGCGGCGACGGGGTTTGAGGTCGGAGGATGAGACAAATCACCATGGATAGGAGTTGGTGGTGCTGTTGTAGTGGGGGCGACGGTGGTGGGGCTGTATCTGTTACAGATCCGACGAACAGCCAGTGCAAGGATAGCGGCGGCTCGCAGTCACGATTCCGGAGGTGGCAAGGAAGGAACCCACCGGCGTCGAATGAACATGATGATGAAGTAGTGGGCAGCGGCGGCGAGAAGCGATTTTGATCAATGCGAGGGCGGAATTTCAGTGGTGGCGTTAAAATGGCGGCAATTGGGTTCTATGATTGGATTGCAATACTGGGTTGGGCTACAGAACCTTTTTTTTTTTTTTTTTTTTTTATAATTTAATTCCATTCAATTAGGGTATTTGATTAATTGGTTTTGTTTGTATAATCAGATTATTGGATGGTTTTGAAGGATATTAAAAATTTTTGTCAGAATTCGTCCTATGGTTCACAGGCTTTGAGGTACATGCAGGGACCAGCTGATAATTTTGGTAGGAATTTCAGTATCGAGAAGAGGATTTCTTTTTTCAATCATCAAGATGATGAAATCGAGATTCCCCGTGGATTCTTTAAGAAATTTCCTATCACAAACTATGGTTAGTTATATATATATATATTAGCTGAATTGATAGAAATAGAGAACCACTTGAATTGGGGAATAATTTTACTGAATTGAATACTATTCTATCAATCTTCAGAACTGCAACTGAAGCTTTTCTTTAGTTATTGAACTGAAAAACTAAAAAATACATATTATACAAATAGACGGAGGGAGAGAGAGGGGTTTAGGTCGAAGAAGATCATGAACAGTAAGAGGAAGATGAACACTAACCAGAAGGGCGTGTTTGGTTGTAACAGGATTCCATAAGAGTGAGACAGACATCTATATACGACACATATATCATATATGTAAACAAAATCGCACGATATATATATATATATATCAACACAATGCACAACTGACCCAGATAGGGAGGGGTTCATTTTGAGTTTTTTTTTAATCAGAATGGATGCCTTGTGGAGAAGATAAACAGTGCATATATGTGTGTGTGTGTATATAGAGTTGTTTGGGTGTAACCATATGTTTGGGTCAAATAGGGGCACTAGAGTATTTTTACCCTTATAAGGGCATTATAGTCATTAAATCAAATATTATGTTTTTAATGGCGAATTTCAGCCGGTGCCGTCACCGGATGGGATCGTTTGCAAAAAAATGTATAGTTTGGGAGGTTTGTTGTACTTTTTGTAGTTTAAGGGAGTTTGTTGCTAATTAGTCAATAATTTATAGGAATTTTTTGCATTTAACCTTATAGAATATAATGAAACAATTTAAGAAAAAAATATTTAAAAAATATACTACTTAGTACATTATAACAAGGGAAGGAAAAAATCCAAAACCCCGGGTCCTGGCTCCGTCCCCGCAAAGAAGTAAGAGTACACCGTCATGAGCCGCATTGGGAAAATAAAATATGACGTGAAGAATCTCGTTTTTCTAGTTCAAACAGAAAATCAGAGGAAGACGTATTTACGTATATGTATGTAATAATGTGTGTATATATATTGATATATATATATATATATATTGAGAGTTGGGGCACACAAATTGGATGAGAATGGAAGACAGTCAAGGCACTCAATTAACTTACGAGTCACGAGGAAAGTAACTACAGAATCGTACGGTAATAGGACCAGGACGACCATATATTCACCTGTCAATTTTGTACCTCAATTACCGATTGGGATGCCTTAATCCAGTGGACTAGCATCCCATGGAAGAGAAACTCAGCTCCAAACTTGCTTGTATGCCTCTCATCTATAGCGTATCATACATAGGAAGAGTGAAATGATCAGATTTTTAGCGGGTAGAAATCGTCGCAGAGAGTTGTTATTGTTAGAATCTCACCACCATCATTTCGACTCAAATTAGGTTTTCTTCAAGATTGTTCAATTTTAACACGCATCTTAAGCGACTGGAATCTCTCACCTTCATGATATATATATATATATATAGAGGATCGTCCACCCCTGATATAACAGCACAGGCAATGGATTATTATAGTGGATTATTATAGAAAATTTGCAAGACTCTTATTAAATAATAAAGAAAATTTACTGTCATCTTGGATTTAAGTAAACCATTTTCTATTATTATGTTCAAAGGTTGCAAGATCAACTTCCTTATGTAATGAATTAATAGACTAATCAAATATAGTAAGCCTAATAATTTTGGCTAAGTGATTGGTGCAATATCATTATTCTATTATTATGTTCAAAGGTTACACTCACTAAGACTACAAATGCATTTATATACTGATGGTTTTATTTTTTTCATAGTTCAAGAACACAACAGCTTGTATATTACTCTTAACATGGTCACAACTCTCAACATCTCTTTATAAGGAGGTGAGATTATATTATTTAGTCTAAGGTTCATTGGTGACTTGGTTAGTGAGGTTTTATTTCATTCCTTCGTTCCACTTTGATGTCATATCTTAAACATTACTATTACTTTGATATTCTATTGATTTTAATTATGATGTCATTATTCTTATAACAGTTATAGTTATGAATTACCTTATTACAATTTTTTAAGATCAAAAAATCATTTTTATTTTGGAATGTCTTCCATTCCTAAGATGGATGTATATTACATTTTATAATATTTCTAAACTACTTTTTTACTAACATTTACTCCATTCCTAAGGTGGATGTACTACATTTTATAATAATTTTAAATTATCCTTTTAACATTTACTTTATTAAACAAGGGTACTAATTTAGGAGTACTCTTTATAATATTCCTAAATTACCTTTTTGACATTTACTTTATTGAACAAGTGTACTAATTAAATTTAAAAATTCACAATCATCAATACAATAAAAAAATATATATTAAAAATCTACCATCAGGTTGGATTCCCCAAAACATCCAAGAATTTTAGTAGGGATGGCAATGGCGCGGGGATCTCATTTCCCATCCCCATTGAATTTTTTCACTCCCATAACCGCCTCAAAATTCAAAATAGTCACTATCTTTGTTCCCATTTACATAAACGGTTTTCAAAACCGTTCCAAACAGGGCTAGATGTCGCCGGGATAGAAATTTTTGTCATCTCTATTATATATATATATATATATATAATCTATTTTAATAATATAACATAGTATGTAAGGATAATTTATTAAATGTATAGTTCCAAAATTTGTCAAATTTTTCAAAACAGCCCACATTCTTACTCATTTACATAATCGATTCCCCAAAACCTTCACCAAACAGGTAGGGCGGGGCACCGGTTGGGACTTCTTACCATCCCTAACCCAGGGAGTATTTTCTGTGTCACGGGCGACCTCAAAAATGGTCACTCTGATATTGCTTTCAATCCCTTCTGTCACTGGAAGAACACAAAGGGTCACAAAATCTTGATGAATAATCAAATCAATCCACCAAGGTGGAAAAATAAATCTAAAGAAGGAAAACGAATAAATCCAGTAAAGGAAAAGATGCTCTTGAACTCTGATTCTTTTCACTTGATTGGGTTTGGTTTTAAAAGTACATGTCAATTCTAAAGAAAGCAGAGACCCTAAATACTAATAAAAATAGTGCATGAATCAAAATGGGCCATGTTCATTTCTGCCTCATCATGTCACTAAACTCAGTCATTTTCCTTCTTTTTCCGGGAAAACATTTATTATATTCCTAGAAAATCACATCAAAGCCTCTATGCTACCTCTCTTTGTCACGCCACAGACAGGGCAAGAATCAAGAAAAGCTTCACAAGCTTTGCATGAGCAAAGGTGCCTGCAAGGTAGGAAAATGACACACCTACTCCTAAAATTACAGCTTTTGCAAACCATCTTTTCCTCTCTCTCTCTTCCTCTTCCACTTCCATTTCCCTCTTCCTTTCCATTCCTCCCCCTGCTTTCCCCTGTTTGGTCCTCCTCTATGCAAGACTCTGCATCTTCAATCCCATTGGTGAAACAAGCATTGCTTTCTCTCAGCTGTTCGATTGTGTTGTGGAGAGAGAAAGCCATGGCCTCGTTCTCTTTGGCCACTCTCTGCCATGTTTGGTTCTCGTCCTCCATTCTTCTCAACAACTCTTCAAGCTCCATTGTCCTCTGCACAGCTTTTCCTATTTCTTCATCTCTCTGTTTCAGTAGAAAATGTGCTTTTGCTTCGTATTTCTTCAAAAGCACTTCCACTTGTTGCTTTCTCTGCTCTTGCAATGCCAATCTCAATCTCTCATTCTGTTACACAAACAATAATGTACATTTATTGAAAGTTGAAACACACACAAAAAAAAAAAAAAAAAAAACTCTCTAATTCTAAATATATATTTTATTTTTAAAGCAAAATCTATCTTAGAATGCTGCTTAAAAAACAAGAAAATCCAATATAAAACTGCTTTTGAATTGAAATGAAATGACTTTTTGATTTTTGAAGCAAAACCCATCTAAAAAAGCTGCTTAAAAAACTAGAAAGTCAAATATAAAACTGGTTTTGAATTGAAATGAAGGAGTTTTTTTATTTATTTTTGAAGCAAAACCCATGTGAGGATGTTATGTTTTCTGACCTGTAAAGTGATAAACTGATCAATCTCTTGCCTTTGATTCTCAATCACAGACTCTATGCTTTGAGAAAACTCCATTAATTGGTGACTCTTGAAGTTGTTTTTGGGAACCACGACACTTTTCTGCTGCAGATTTTGTAACTGTTGCTGCGGAAGATTGAGATACAACTCATTGAACCCACAAGCACTTTCCATCCAAACCTGTGAGCCTAACCCAAGATTGTCCAGGCACAACTGAGCTTCAATGGCCATATATATATATATATAGGTAGAGAGAAATATCACACCAAAACAAACCCTTTTCTCAGATCTTCCTCACCTTCTCTCAACACAAATCAACAAAACAATAACAGAATCGAAGTGGGTTTGTTTCAAAACAAGAACTTTGTCGTTTGATGGGTCAGAATTGCTGCAGGAATATGATCTCCCTCTCTCTTTCTCTCTCTAACTTGGCAGCAAAACCTTTGCCTTGAACATAACAAACAAAAGTGGTGGGGTAGGGAGTCCTTATATATATAGACACGTATATTTATTATATTGGAGGGTGTGTGAATTAAATATATATAATTATTTGACTGAATTAAAGAACTAAAAAAAATTGAAAAGAGAGACTGGTGGGTGTGGGCCTAGGATTCTTTCTCTATCTACTTTTTCTCCCGGAAAGTTCTATCTATTGTTTCTCTCTCTTGAGAAGCATTAAAGAGAGATGCACGGGAGATAGGTAAGCAAACGACTTACACATGCAGGTTTTGTGAGTAACCTACCTATCCAGTGGAGAGATTTTAGAGGCGTTGTTGAATGAGAAATTTAATTGAAGAGGTGTGGCTTTTATGTTGGTGTGAACGAGTCTGTTTTGTTTTTTTATATTTAGAGAGAGAAAATGTCAGTTTTTGTTTGGAGAGAGAGAAAGAGAAAGAGAGGATCGGAGATTAGTCAGTTTGGTCATCTGGAAAGGCTGAAGAATAGGATTCTTATTTCATTCGCAATTCTCTCTCTTCCCATTAAAGATAACATGCAACAGCTTCACGTTCAAAGACATCTCAAACTTCTTATATATATCTCTTTCCCACCAAGTAAAGGGGGTTTTTGTATTTTCATCTGAATAAATTTTTAGCAGGCTTAAATTAAGGTAAATTATATTAATATCCTCTTAAGATTGGGCAACTAAACCTATACCGATCAACTTTAATTACTCTTATCTCCCCTAATCTTCTTTTTCTGTCTCCCAAATATGACTTTTAGTGTAAAAAGTCCTTCATGCCCTTATATTATAAGATATTTATAAAAAGTATTTCAATAGTGGTGATGTGTTTGAATATGGTTGTGTACGTAGGTACCACTTTTGTGTACAAATATATTACTTTTTGTGCAGATCATTTTAATGACTTAATTTGTATAAAAATGATACTTATTTGCACAAAAGTAGTTTCTATGTGCATCTGCATAAGAGTTGTACTTACATATACAAAATGGTGCCGGAATATATTAAGGATAATTTGGGTAGATGAATAGTATTTTTCAATGTCCACCTTAAACTGTAAAAATAAATAAATAAAAAATAATAATAAAATCATGGTTGTGAAAAAATTTGGCTTCGACTCCATGACTTTGTAAATGAATAGTGTTTTACAATGTCCACCTCAAACTTTCAAAAAATATCATGGTTGTGAAAAAAATTGGCTTTAACTCCACGACTTTGTAAATTAGCCTCCAAAACTCCATGTTTTTGTAACTATCCCTATGTGTATATATATATATTAGAGGAGATTTGTGTCACACTTAAGTATTTGAAGAATGCACTCACTTGTACAGAAAGGGTAAACTACTCCGACCTCCCTCCATGTATGGCCTAGTTTCCAAAAATAGGTATTAATTTATATATTTAGAATGTGCTAAGTGGGCATCAACTTTTACATTTATAAAAGTCACAAAACTCTTATACGTTAGTATAGTAAGAAGGGATCGTCCACAGGGATTATTAGCTTAGAATCTAACTTGACATTAATGAGCGTGAGATTGAAACGAAGTTTGTTTTGTTAATTAAACTAATATTGAACAATGTGAATCATGAATGAAATTAAAACTAAATTAAGATTGAGTTAAGTGATAGGAAAAGAGGCTTAAGGCATGGAATGCACCACTAAGCTCATGCAACTAAACGAAGTGCCTTCAATTAACGGGAAAAATTTATTGTAATCAAAATGTGGCTACAAGCACACATCAATAATCAAGAGGATAATACAAATTGCAATGAATAAGTATGGACTATTAAATTCAAGCATGAATTATCTACCTAACTACAATTACTCTAAGGTGTAGTATAATCGATCAATACTAAGTATAACTCATCAAACTAATTAGCAATTACATCCAATAAGAACCATACATGGCCATCACTAAGCACAATTACAAAAAACATTTAGTGTAAAGATTAATCCTCGATTAATTACACATAATACAACATGCAACCAACATAGAGAATCAATAGAAAGAATTATTAATATAAACTTTGGTACAACCAAGTTTGAATTCACAAGACCATATCACTAATTACAATTAATAATTCCCAAGATTGAAAGACAAAGTTTTAATTATACAAGCTTAGGGCTCATCCAAGCCCTAAGTGAAGAGATTGTCACTCATGGAGAAGGTAGATGTCATCAAGGTAGCTTCACAATTTATCTCCAAGCTTTGGCTCATCTTCTTCTTCTTTTTCTTTGGTTGAAACCCTAGAGAGAGAGTGTATGAATGTAAAGAGAGAATGTCCTAAAATATCCTAATTCTAATTCTAATCTTGCAAAATGTGCAACCTCCCTTGCCAATATGGGCTAATTTCCTTATATAGGTGGTTTTAATGACCTCAAATTGGTCAGACCTTGTGCACAAGGACCCAAAATGATTGCACCACAAGCCCCTTTGAATCGAGGCTTCAATTATGTTTTTCATAGATTTTAAGGCAAGTTCGATCGATCACGAGTGTGGTTCGATCAATCATAGGTAGGTGGAAGATATGTTGTAATGACTTGGTCATTTTCATTTTTTTCATTTTCTCTGATTTTCACAGATATTTTTTTTCCGCTGATCTTTTCCTTTTTAAGTTCAGTTTCTCATCACTTAGTATCATCTCGAGTGCTCGGAAATAGTTTCTGAGACTCTTTTCTTAGGATTGACAACTTCCTTTAAGGACCGAGTCATTCCGCATTTTTCGTTTTTCGACACTATTCACTTTTCTTCCTTTTCCCTATTTTGTCTTTTCCCCGTTCGTCACTTTTTGGCAAAACCTCACTTCTTGTGTTCGGAGTTGGTTTCTGACTTCACGTATCTTCATTCTTAGGGGTTTCCACAAAATACGTATCTTTACTTTTGCAGTAAAGTACTCTGGTTGCTTCAGGTGTTCATAGGGCCATGGATGTACAGTTTTTCAAAATCTTTTTCTTTTCTTGGGGTGTTTTTCATAAATATTTTTTGAAGATATTTTATTTCAAAGGTTTTTAAGAAAATATTTTTGGAAGATATTTTTATTCTGGGTCATCAGTGCAGTTTTCACTTTTTGGAGGGGTCATTGTGCAATTAATGAAAGTTATTACTAAATGTCTTGTTTTGAGCATGGATCCTTGTACGGGATTCATTTTCACTTTTCGTCGAATTGTGTACTTTTAGAATTTCGTTCTGGTCGTTTTTCTCCAGTTTCAGAGTTTCTGATCCCGGTTGCCACCGAACTTGTTCGGGGCATATCTCTTTGCTCGGGGCTCAGTTTTTGACGTCGCTTCTTCCGTTGTTTATATTTTCTCATTTTGAATCTTTTTCATTCACAGAGTTTCGTCGTTTGAACGCGTCTGCTCAAATTTCATTTTTCTGGACCCGACGGGACCCGTTCGGGACACTTTTAGGGTTTTTCTATAAATAGGAAGTCTTAAGAAGAAAAATCAGATTTTTCTTTCTCTCTCTCCTCTCTCTTGGCCGGCATCCATGGCAGCCATGGCTGCCACCCTTCTCTCTTCTTTTCCGGCCACTTCCCTTTGCTAAAAAGGTGTAGTGCCTTAGCGTTTTATGTTCACCTTGTCGTGCTCTACCTTTTCCCCTTATTAGAATTCGTTTTTGCTAATTTCTTGAGTTCGGGTTTGAAGTCAAGTTGTGATTTTTATGGGGCTTCCTTGGGATTCTTGTTCACCGTGTTGTCCCCGACAAAACCTAGAAGTTTCGTCGGATTCGGAGCGATTTCATTTCGTGGGGATTTGAGATTTCATCTCAAATGGAGGTAGGTGATGTTTTAGGATTTTAAATGTGTTATATTGAGTGTTTTCCATGATTATACAACTTATATGTATGCCTTGTATCAAATCTAGAATATTAGTAATATTTATTTCTTTGTATAAGATTTAATCTACAATGATGTATACAGCCTATAATTGAATTGTGGCATGATGATAAATTATGTTTTGACATGTTTGTTAACATGTATCAAATTGGAATTATTTGAATAAGAATTGCACTTTTTATTTAATATTTATCTTTCTGAAAGATTAAATTCCATGGCCGTACATTGCATGAAATTAACTTGTAACATGCTTTTAAACTAAGTCTTGACATGTTCTTTAACATACTTTAATTTGAGAGCATTTGGATAAGTATGAAAATCTAGAGAATTTAATTAAAATGATTAATTAAAATCTATTTAATGGTTCATTTGGCTTAATTAAGTTTTGACTTGATATTTGAGATCACTAGAACTTGTATACTAGCATATGTTAATTTGGGACCACTTTATGTTGTTTTAGAATTTAGGGATTTGATTATCATGATTTAATTAAATTCTATTTTGTTGTTCAAATGGCCTAATTAAGCTTTTGAATCGATTTATGCAATGACCATGTTATGTTGTCTAACATATGTTGATTAAGGGTCATTTGATTGAGATTTGAAGCCTAGAGAAATTAATTAGGCTATGTATTTCGTTTCTATGGCGTTAATGATTTAATCATGTGTTAACATTGATAGTATGTTTAAAGTATGATTTTTGACTTGTAATGGATATATGAGTTTATGTTTTCAATATTGGATTATATTGTTATGGAGTGTAACGAATCGCACATTGAAGATTCGACATGTCGCACATTGAAGATTCGACATGTGATGTTATTATAGCGCGTAATAAATCGCGCTCTAAAGATTCGACATTTGTCATCCTATAGTAGTTGTGGATTTAGAGCATGTACTGTGTGGTTCCAACCTCCTTGTGCATGAAGGTAGTTTCGTGTACTATTCAATATGTATATAAGTTGTTAACTTATTTATTTTGGAGTCACTTGGGACATGGTTACTATGATATGGCTAGAGTTTGGCTCTAGTGCGGGAGGTATGAGTTCTCCCCGTCAAGATAGTGCGCACTAGGGGTGGTATTACCAGCAGGTTAGTCCCCATAATAGCCGTTGAGGTCTTGGCAGAATTCCGAGCTTAGATGTC